GTTGGTCATCCGCACTTAACAGGAGGCCGATCATTCTTTAACGAAAAATGGAATGCTTTCGGGAGAGAAATCGAATTATACTCATGCGCGCACACACCGTGGTGAATGTATACCCTGGAAGACCTGAACTGCAAACAGCAGCTTAAACGGTTTGGTCGATTGGGGGGTGGGGAGATACTTCAGTGTCTACCACCTGTCGTTAGACAGGTGACTCGCAGGGTCGCACAAAACGGTAGCGGAGGGAAGACGTGCGTACTAAGAGTCCGACGTGACCGAGAACAGAATGGACTTGAGCGTGAACACGTCGGCAATTTGCGTGCGGGATAACAAAACTCATAGTAGCGAATAGACAAGACTGTAACAACTGTTCAAAACAAAACAAATTACGAGTAGGAGAAAATGTCTAACTTTTAATATTTTAATGAAAAGCTGTTGGTCGAGAATGACCAGGAAATTAAAAGACAGTCGATGCCTGATTCTTTATAGCTTTGCTTGCTGGATGTCCCTTCATTCACTTTTATACCGCAGAGAAAACCAGATATTTTTACTCTCCACGAGCGATCCTTCGAAAACTATCTGGCAAGAGCCGGAAACAAACGACCCAATGAAGCGCAAAAGGGTGTATCTGTGCTCGAAGCTAGACCGCTGTCTCGTTGGCATTCCATGCGCCACCATCACTGCATAAAACCCTCTTTCCATGTTTTTCATGAGGTGGGAGATTAGTATTCAGTGTGGCTGCTTCCTTTCTGCCGAACGCCGTCGGTCAGTTTTGATTTGAAAATAAGCTGTTGGAAACATTTGAACCTGTAACCCGGACAATACCGTTAGTGTTCAGAAACTAGGGAAGCAAGTTGATGCAGGTCGTGGTGAGGGTGACCAGTCAGCATCCTGGTCATTGGCAACACTATGTGCCAGAAAAGTCTATCAAATCTCAGTGGATCTCCACATAGGTAATATTCGTGGTTTTCCACCGATCGCAGGCCTTCCTGGATAGCAAGGACTGACAAATCTGAGCATGCCCTGACTGTGCACGTCTTTCTAGAACCATCTCCCTAAGGTGGATGCAGCGGTACGCGGACAATGGGCAGTGAATCAAGGGATTTAGTGTGGCAATCATTACACGCATTGATCTTCTTGTGAACGATTGGTTACGCCCTTCTCATGACAACACTCTTTAGTCGTCTGCCCAATTTCCTGGTATTATATTTAAAGTGGGTACCTCAGCTTGATTAAGAATGTTATCCTTGATTTAGTAAAAGAATGGCGGTACATTCTTGAACTAGGATGGCTGGTGTATAGGGATGCAGAGTACAAAGTTCAACAGGCCTTACATGTTTGGTTATTATCTACACCAGTTAAAATTTTTTTGATGAAAATAAGGTCTGCTTTAAAATTCGGCGGGGGAGAGGTTCTTAACTTCTGGCTCAAAGGCTCACATGTTACGTCATTATAAAGAAGAGATCTGAGGTGGGCCACAACTGCTGAACTTTAATTACCTGGAGGGCATAGGTAGCGTCGAGGCCAAGGGCTGACGATTCATTACTTCCGTTTGGCAGCGCCCTCTGAAAGAAAAATTTAAAGAAGCGAACTGACTCAAAAGTCTATGTCAGGCGCAAAAGATGTGACCGAGTAGCTAAATGGGACTTAACTGTTTCCATCAACGAACGGAAAGGTAAAGGCGAACAGTAAAAGAAAATAGGCATTAGGAGGAAAGGCAATACAGGTATATTCAGTTTATTTGTGAAGGGCGATCTGAAGGCTAAATGGTAAATAAAGAGCCCTAAGTTGAGTCTTTGCCACTTATACGAACAGTCCGAATGGGTTTTAACCTAGTCTACATTATCGTTTCAGCTACAGTGAAATCGAAAGATGCTCTGGACCAGGCAGGACGGGTGATGATCGGACGCAGATGGTGCGTCACGCCCATCAGTCAACCTAAAGTTAGCAACGCTCAGAGTCACGTGCCGCCACGGGCCGGAGTGGATAGCGGAAACCGCAGAAGCATGACTACTGGCCAACGGAGGCCGGGGGCAAAGCGGCAAATTCAATGGCGAGCGCCAAAGTAAGCCAACTGCTAACTGTGACTTATCGATACAAAAATGCCCCCGAAATCGCCGCAGCGCAAACAGAAGGAGATATGTGCAGGAAGAAATACCGACGAAAACAAGGGGCACCGAGATGGCCATTTCTGATTTGCTAGCCGTCGTCGGTCAGCAATACTCGACCTTATGTCGATTCGAACCCTAATTCTTTAGTCTTTAAGCGTTAAGCAGCCCAACGGTCTATCATTGAACCACGGGCTCCCCGTCCCGTTGGCCATAATCGGGGATGTAAGCCATGGTGGAAGGGCGTTCACCGACCAGGTTACGGGATCTTTTCGTTCCGCTGTACCTTGGGGTTCCATCTAGAGCCCTCACAGACAGTCGCACAATGACTAATAACATAGGCGGAGATGGGAGTGCCTACAAAGATAAGGCAGATGACAATTTCTAGCTTATTAGCCGTCAGCCAGCCGTACTAGCTCAATGTTTTGCCGATTTTATGCCGGTGCATGACGCACTCGCGAGAGTGCGGCTCATCCGTGGGATCCCCGGATTCCTCCGTTTCTACTATTCAGTCTCAGAAATTACTGCGTTAACTTGGAGTACATTCTTCGGAACAAGATTTTTCAAACTCAGTTCGAAAGTTTATATGGCTGCTTGATTTACTACCTGCAAGGGGATATAGAAGGTTAATGTAGACCTTTCAATAGTCGTTTTTTACAGATTTTCCAAAACACCTGAAATCAGTACCCGAAGTACACAATGACAACAGCTCACTAATTCTTGTCACACTTCGAATGCTATGAACAGGTAGCAAAAGAACGCAAGATTAAAGGAGAAGTCATTCATTGTGCACGCACGAAAATTAACTCACACTGTTGACCATTTAAAATACCAAGCAATATATTTATTATGGTAGAAGGCTGTAAGACTTGAATACAGCGCCATGGCTAGACTGAAGACTGTCAAAATGACAAATCGTTTTTCTTATTCTGACCCAAGTGTGGAAAACTTAGTGATCTCGGTGGAATTCAAACCCCCGACAGCAAGGGCAAGGCTTGAGTACAGCCAATGCTCTAGCGACCTGAGCTACGAGGCCCCAGCGGCAGACGTGAAAGTAATCACATTTATGTCAAGTTACCCGCCCAGCCTACTGCAACGTCTGGAATCCACCAAATCTGATACACTTAGCTGACTGCCCAAGCAGGATTTCCTGAGTAATTAACCTGGAATCCACCAGACGACTACCAGGCTCACTTAATTAATAGGTGCTTTGACAGATTTTGAAACTTCACAGGAAGAATGTCGACCTATATAGGAAAGGGTTACTCGGGGCAGTAAAATTAGTTCGAATGATTTTTGACGGTGGTAGGATATCACCATAAATGAATTGCTGCACTAGGCGGAACTGCGCTGAGATGACTGGCGTATGCAAATCGCTCGAAACCTACTCGCTTTAAAAACAGTATAAGTAAATTTTGGCGACAAAAGCTTGCCCTTATGAGGTCTAGAGGAATGTTGCACAAGGCGTTCCAAACAAAAAGAGGCGGTAGAAGAAGCGGCTGCGATGGCATTTGTAAAAAGGCCGATTTGTTAAAAAATAAGTACATTCGTCAGACCCTTCGGAAATAGGAAATCAGCTGAAATATATGGAAAACAGTGACATATTGAATCAGTCTGCAATCCTAGCAACTAATAGGAACGAAGTCTATGTCTGGAGAACAACCATCCATACAACCTAGTAGCGTTGCTGAATTTAAGAAGCTACAGCTCAGTGTTCTACATATACTTGCAAAATCTGGACACGTATTTGAAAGTTCGGTCTTTATCTGGAAGAGGCATACGGAATAACGAAGTCTGGATGTTTAAAGGGCATCGTTTACAAGTTGGAGAGAATTATTAGGCCCTTAGCATCTTCCGCTTAGTGCATACTAATAAAGCATTTCAAAATAAATACGTCTTTTTGTAGCCCCAAAGGTTAAATCGTATAAAATTTAAGCTGACATTAAGGAAGAATTATGGCCTTTTAATTTCCTCAGAAATTAACTGCGAACTTGGAGTAGGTCAGCGGATACTAAGGTCCGTAGGCGCCGACCGAAATTCGATGCATCTGTGCTGCTAGCCTGGTACCTTATAACCCTAAAATTCGGGGCGAAACCAGATTAGTCGGTGATGACTGCGCCTTGAGGCGTTCGTTGAACGAGACCGGCACCACATTCTGACCATCGCATGAACAACCTCCATTGCGGCCATGCTCCGCTGGTTGTAGTACAAAATGAGGCATTAGTGGATATCTAAGCCCAAAGGGCCTGCCTTACAAATTTTGCGGAAAAGACACTTGCCTAGCTATTATTCAGCTGTTAGAAGTAATTGCGCCTAGAACTTTTGCCCAAATGTGATGTTAAGTGCCGTGCTAGTTACGGATTATTGACCCGAATTCCCAACTCTTTTTCTAATCGCCCACCCTCTAGATGATCGTTAGTCCGAGATGCCATACTCGAGTTTTATATTTTACGTCTAGTCGTAGGTCACAATGTTATGATGGAAGCAAATATCGCAAGACAGAAGGTAGAAAAGGACGGAAAAGGTCTCTCATTTAATCCACGTAACGTTTAAGAGATGAGATGGATGTCCTCCGGTGCATGCATTCACAACCATACACGAATAAGCCACCAAGAAATAGCTGATGGTAGGGAGCGAAGTGACGTTCATGGCAGGCGGGGGATCGACGTAGGACACAGAAATCGTTTAGAATGGCACTTTATAAGTGAATACCACGAGCCATGAGTAGACCTGCAGCTGTCAGAAAACCAAATTAAAGGAGCTCAGAGCCTGTGAAGTGGTTAAGTTACTGTGAAAGTTACTCAAAAACTATACTTATCCTACCCTTGATGGAATCTGCGCTACGGAACTGAGTCTAAGGGATCAGGCGACAATCTATGAAGAAAATAAAGCGATCAAAGGGAGACTTGATAAACAAGACACAGGCCAAATAAACAAGAAGTCATCATTTCATAGGCACATTCTCAAGCCTGACTAGATCAGTTATCAAAGTAACATAGACTGAGCTGCCCGGACCCGGTTTCACCGAAGTGGAGCACGGTTAAACCGGCAAAAAATTTGTGAAAAAAGCAAATGACAAAGTCACGGGGCAGTAGGACATAGAAGCCATGGACCTTTTGACACTGTACTAATTATACAACTTTAAGACAACCAAATAGGCAGATTTCATCGCACGCCCCGATTAACTGAGTGGTGTAACCTGATGGCGAACTTAGAAAACATTCCAGTATGCTATGAAAACCTGCATTATTAATACATGTTCAGACCAGACGGACTTACCTGGATGAAAAAAGGAATTAAAGCATTACATGTTACTCTTTTCTAGAAGGCAGGAACAACTGCACGGGCTTTTAAGCCTGCTGCAAAAAATGTTCCGCCGAATTCCAGTTCAAATGGCTGTTAAGATTGAATCCCACCTACGAATTGCACTCTTCTGTGTGCGTGCTTTATAAACTCCAGACAGGCGGCTTGACTTTCTGGAATTCCAGCTGAACTAGAAAATTTGCTTTTAGATATCTTCTAAGCTTAAACAAAAAACAGAAAGTCATGCCTTGCCCTTCGCCCACTTCCTTTTCTGACACAGTTGGAACCAAAGTGGGAGCCTGGCATCAGTGATCCACAGCGTTTATAATCTATGCGTCTGTCAGTTTAGGCTTGCTTTGAATTTTACGCAGTTCAGATTGGTATACCCAGTTGTTCTCACAAAAATATCGATGCTGGGATGCGTCTTGCTTCTGGGACCTCTGGCTAAGTAATTGATTTCATGCATTCGGTAAGTTATGCAGTGATTTTAACGGTTCTTTAAATTTATGTTTAGTGCATATTTGTTGTATTATGCACAGCCCCATGAATACAAGGCAATTTCTGCAAATAGAGCAGTTTGAGAGTCAGCCTCAAAATTCCGCTGGTTCTTCTACAGAATAGGAAGTGTTAAAGTTATCTTAAAAGCCCAAACAGGAAATGAACTCGGGAAAAGAGGAAACCTCCCAACTCCGTCCTGATAGGAGAAAAGGCCAGGGAACACAAACCTCATGAGACTCCGAAGACTCTCTGCACAGTAAAAGAGACCACTATTCCATGGCTCAATTATAGAACCGTTTCATAGATACTTAAAGTTCACAAAATTCATCTCAGAGAGTCGGATCTTCCTGGCTTGGGACTGAGGCATTGCTAGTTGACGAAGTCAAAACTGGCTATTCGAGCCTGCCTTGTGTTTGTTGGTAAAATTTCTTGAAGTATTGCCGAAGCACAGTCTATATGACCGGCGTAACAAAACATCCATATGATCTTCTATATTTAACAAGAAAAATTCTGGCGCAGTCAGACGTCAGAGGAAGTCTCCTTTTTCCAGACACTGTGGTTCCGACAGCCAAAACAGCTGACTGAAAAGCGCAATCCTTTTTCACGATAAATGTTAAAAATGTGCTGGTTGGTCTACATAGTTCTCATTCGCTAATTTTCGCTTATTTTCAGACTTAAAATCACAGATGGCCGAGTTTTAAGTAAGCTACCAAAATACTTCTGATTGTTCCTAATAGTTGTGACTCTAATCTGACATTATTTTTAAAATATTCAACTATCCCTTCGTCTTACCGAAAAAGCAGACCACACACGGCGTCGGGCCGATCAGTTCAGGCAGAAGTTAGTTAAGGAACTATTTAGCAGCCAAGACTTCATTAAAATTGTGTGTAGGTAGTAGAATGCCGAAGGTATTCATTACAAGCCCAAGTGACCGATACCCTGCTTTAAAAATATGCTTGCGTATGAATGATGCGAATTGTAGAATTAGTGAGCGCGCAGGAAACTTCTCCGAAAGATCCAACTCATTCTGGTTTCTGAAGAGCATCTATATTAAAGCTGGCCAGCATATTTTGTTTACTAGAAAGCTGTAATCCAGGAAAGGCCAATTCTACTGACGGAAGATAACGGGCTGAATTTTCTGTTCATAAAGATTTCCAACATTCCTTTGGATGCAGCACATACGCTGGTGTTGAAAAACGGACGAAGTTGGAGGACGAAATTAAATTTTGATCAGCTACGACAATAAAAGTGAATAGGAATGTATGTTTTACAAACAATATATTAACTGGTTGAGATATTGATAAAAATATGTAGCAACTATTACTAATAGTATTTAGGTCGCCAGGAAATCCATTGTAGTTGTCTGGTTTTCCCAATTCGCGCCGGAATCCTTTATTAACAACAATAAACAGCACACGGCCTCATCGATTGCCCGACTACTTTCACGGCTTTTGACGATATGTGGCATAGTAGCGCTACTCCACTAGCCCTTCATCTGGGCGGCCACCCCGCCTGACTTTAGACGAAGGGTTTGCCTGTTCAGAAGCTGGTGCTCAAGGCCATGGTTGATTGTCAGGTCAATCGATCACACGACTCCCGGCACGTCACGGTGGTAGGACGGACGGATACTGTGCACCGAATGAACCGAAAGTGACGCCTATGAAGCTCTTCAGCAATGCAAATGACCTATATCAATATGCTTTAATGTATTTTGTCAACCAGGACTGCAGCATTCGGAAATCGATTGAACCTGCAAAGCTGGTGGTACAGCGACAGAAGTCGGTGGTTGCCAATCGGAGAGTGGTCCGCAAACGCGACTGAACAGCTCACAGTCAGCTGATGCTCAAAAAAGGACTCCATCCGCAAAGAGGATAGTTAATTCCTCCCTTACTTGTAATAATTAAATTGTGAAGGATGCAATTGATTTGGAAAAATCGGTCGCCAATCACAGGCACATACGCCCGAACATAGAATGGCGACATAAATATTGAACTGAAGCAGCAAGTGGCAACTTATCCTATCCATGCTGACCGCGAGTCCAACAACAGGGTAGCAGAAATTGCGGGCCGAAGCAAGGACCACTCGGAAAGAAAGCTAAAAGAAATGCAGCCGTCTGACGACTGTTGAATCAGTCGTAATGGGTGTCCGTCAGCCGCTCACATTCCTTCGCAAAATCTCAGCAGAGGCACTCAGATGACCGAGCAAAGGGTGTGGATAGAACATAGTCTGAAATGGCCAATCCGCAATTGGCACTGGTGTGCTGTTAGATGCACGAAGACGGCTCGTTGCAGTCGAAGGATGCTAAACGCGTGCACTATGTGGAATCTAATAGTATCTAATGATGGCAACTAAGATTATTCTTAAAATAACAAACAACAAACGCAGAATTTAGTAAAAGTGATCTTCTGAGGCCAACCCGCAGAAGTAAGAGCTCTTAAGGACAAAGTCACGTCCGAGCTTTCCTGGGAGGGAATCAATAGTAAACATTTTTCCCTAAATAACTTCGGGGTAGCGAAAACTAACATCCTAATTGTAAAACTCCTTGAATACAATGCAAGAAAGTGAGAAAATGTCATGCAGAATTCAGTATAATGGATCAAGTGACCAGATTCATGGATTTGGACAACGAAATCTAAGGACGTACGAAAAGTTGAACGTATGCCTCCGAGAGAAAAATCCATATTTCGATTTGATTGGTCGAGCAACGGCCGAATTTTCGAGTCTAGAAAAGAATAAATAATTCCTAGTTTAAGGTTGTTAGCTTGAATAAAACCAGAGCTGTCGAGACCACAAAGAATGCAGTCATTTCAGAAGTTTCCTGCGACATCCACACGGTCTTAACGGGCCATCTCACAGGGATGTCCCAATAAGGAATGTTTGGCTTGGTCCCGCTGACCATCTCCAAAAAACATGGTGGCAGAGCCCCGAACTTGAGCCAGAGACAATCGATCGAAGAAGACGAACAGAGTCCCAATGTACTCACCATATACCTACGAACCGCGGTTGGATCCATCCAGATTAGAAATGGAACACTTATTTATACGTACCAGTTCCTGATTGTCAAAAGAGATTCGACCGGCTATTAAGCTCCGACCGAATGTTTAAAGATGTTTTGCAGTGACCCTTTTAATGAGACCTCAGCTTCTAAAAGTTATTTTGTTTGTCGATGCCACTGGAAACATGACAGTGGGTATGGAGGCCGACTGAAGTCGACATCGACCTATGTGAAGTCAAGTGAAGATTTCAAGTAAAGCAGCTTTTCTCTTATTGAGCGGAGGTTGCCGATGCAGTAGGCATTCGAATAGAAATTTTGATTTAGAGGCGATTTCGTTCACTTCAGGAGTTTGAAAATCCACATCCCCTCAACTGGCAGGAAAACTAAGTGCCGAGTTCCTTGATCACAGAGAAGTATATTCGAACATATTTGCATGAATATAACAGTTAGTACTGCTAAGATTGCTTGCTAAGTTTAGCAATAAGGTGTCTAAGGTCCCCCGGTGCTGATTCTGGCAGGCCTGCGTCTGATGAGCTGAAGTAGCTGAATCTTGCGTTAGCTCCTTAAAAGGCATACCCAAGCGAGTTTTCACTGACTAAGGTACCGATTGAGGCCATCTCGGTGGCCGGATAGAGAACGGTTATTGAATAGACGCCAATGATACCATTCAAGCAGTCAACGGACTGCCGCCGAATTACCAAAATTCTTTACCGCAACGATTACTAACCTCAGCGGAGACGACGGCGGCCAGGCTATGCAATCCTGTGCCTGCGTGGGCTTAGAGGAATTTCTTGCTGATCCAGCAGTTGTTTTAGGTTTAAAACTAATTAATCACAGGTTCTGGGGCAAGTAAGCGCGGCATAACTGCCCTAAATTGGTCGTCAGACCTGTTAGGTAACTCCCTGCCCTCCTGCGTTAAAATTTTCAGGGAACTAATTACATCCGTTTTGTAATTCCCGAAAGGCACACTATTATTATATAAGTGCGTAGACCTGGTGATAGTTTAGGAAAACATATTTTTGTCGAACAGTTTCCTCAAAATACCGCTAACTTTTAACCTCATAAGACGACATCCGACATTAGTAGGCAATCAGAAGTATTTTATTCTGCTCGTAGAACGATTGTGCTTGATGAACAAAAGAAACGAGAATTCAAGATCAGGCTAAAACCAAAGCACGTGTATACATACATTTGAAATTGGTTACGAGCGTCTATTCCTCAGAATCGTTCTTCCACAACCTTAAATCATTTGTCGACTCCTCCACTCGCGCAAAATTATCAGACTCAGACCAATGTGTCCTTTGGGGACCAAAGGAGTGCTTTTAGATGACTTCTGAGCTAGAAAATCCAATTCAGATGAAAGAGAGGTGGGAGCGCTTGCCGAGAAACCGGGCGCAATTAGATCTTTCAGAGTGATTGCCACTCTTCAGCACGCGCTGGACTTTTCAAGTCAAAAGGTATCCTCCGCCAGTTTGCCTTTCACCCTCATAAACATAAATACCCCTCAGGTGGGAATGATGGCGGGGGAGCCGACCTGATTGTAGAACTGACTATGAGGCCCCCCGCCAATTCTCCTTGAATTCCGGTCTTGCAGACGATCGCCATTCTAGTCTTCCATGCCTTTGTCAGTAATGTTTATGGACTGTTTACCGTTGGCTGCTGTCGTCATGTCCTCGACAACTCTAGACTTGAATACCTGGGTAGAATTGAGAGCCTGTATTATGTACCGTAGTAGCAACAGCTCATTGAACGTCGTTTACGTGCGACTGAATGTTACACATGGTAGCGTGGACGAATTCAGTCCTTGGTTTGACCGCTACAGTGGACCGGGCTTGGGAGTTGTTCAGATGACGACAAACGGGCCGGGTAACAATCGGGAAAGGGCACCCAAATATCCGTTGCCTAGAAGTAATACCTGCTATACCTATTTGAGTAGGTTATGGCTCTACATATTTGTTGTTTCATCCGACCTCAATTTTATCTGATCTGCAGCGCACATGTTGCCTCACTTAGATTACCATAGTCTCCAACAGTTGAAATGCGACCGCTGAAGACCGAGCCATGGTTAATCAACCCTGACCTAGGTTTAGACGGCTGAAGAGTGACAACAGTAGTGGGTTTGCGGCTAAATCTACCCTTGTATACCTTAAGAAAGTTGAGAAATGATCGCCGTAGACCCACCCTACGTCAAACAACCTTAATATAAGCTTCCACTGCTGACAAGCGACCGCAGTAGTCCCTGTGCGGATTATTCTATAGTAGCTTACCTACGGACAATTGCAATACGATCGCCGTTGACCGAGCACTTGGATTATCAATTTTTACCATTGCTTCCAGAGGTCAAGAGCTACCGCAGTCGCCAGTGTGCGGCGCAGTCAATGGCTGCATAGCTTAGGACAGTTGCGATAAGATCGTTGCTTTGGCCGGCAGTATTTTTGGGTGTCCCCTCCCGATCGTTGCCACGGGCTGTTAATATCCATTTCCGAGCTCTATGTCTTTGTCAGTAATAATTCTAACTACATACGCGCATCTTAGGCACTCAGGCAAAGGGAAATCTCTTCCCAGGATCTAGAGGGATGGACATCACGTGCTCAATAAATTTCAAAACCCCAGTTCCAAGGGAAACAGAAACAACACCAGTTACTCACGTGAAGAACATCCTCCGTTCAAGAGCCCAAGCCCAGAGAGATGATGCTATTGCTTTGGACTCGCATCTGTAGTCAGTTGTCAAACGTCCAGGCTAGATATTGTAATAAGAAAGATCACTCATTGACTACCGCAGGAAGCGAATATGAAAAGAACGATCGAACTGCAACACTTTACTATTCGGGTGGAATAATACACGTTCAATTTCCGCGGCACCCTTCCAGGAGGAATAATGTATGACATGTGAACCTGCCTAAAGACCAAAATTTTTTCCAAAACACACAAAGAAAGACAAGCATTTTAAGCGTGTGTGCTTAAGAAGGGTAAGTCACCCTTAAGAGGTCATGACGTTTCCTGTCAATCAGTTGAAAACTTTTCCAACTCAAAAAGTTAGGTAAGACAGATTCAACTCATGCAGCTGTTGTTTTGAGAATGTCTTGTATGGGAAACGCGCACAATTAACAGAATCACCATTTAAAAACCGCCTTCAACATTCTCAAACAACTTTGTCACACACCCGATGAATTCTGTTTTCGTCATGCAAGGTCTGTAGGAAGGGGAAGGGACTAGTTATAAGAATAAGCTCAGCTGCCTGTAATCGGATATACAGTAATACGGGGGTAGTTTTCGGTGCAGACACTGTTATTTCCGGAACGAGGCAACATTTATGTCGACGAGTGACGTAGTTCAACAACTTATAGCTAATTATATTATAGATAAGTATCTCTTAAAATGGGAAAAAGACGTACCTTCTGACCTTTTTGGGCCTAAAGGGAATGGTGATGAAAGAGCGAATCATAAGTACAAGTAAAAAGAGTGGGAAGGATAAATAAGAAAAAGACGCAACAGAAATGGTAAATGGACACCGAAAGGAGGTTCCGTTGTGCAGGCCGAATTCTGGCTGGACAACCACAAGGTGGGCCAACAAGTGAACCAGCAGTTGTTTTCCTAGATCATCCGAATATACGCCACGACTACACTTGTGATTCTCATTGGCTGCGCTCACAACGACTGGATGAGCCTGTTGGAGTGCCTGTTCATGGTAAGGGGTCAAAGTTTTTCCCCCTACGACACAACTTCTCTTCAGAAGTCATCATGTTACCCGGCAGAGAAGATGATTGAATTGTGGGAAACCAATCAATCAAAACACCGAATAGTCAGAACTTTGAGGAAGTCAAGGTCGCAGTTATACGGCGACCAGGACGATATAATGGGTAATTATAAACGAATTTTGGGCAGCGGTCGTCTAACGATAACAACAGTGCTAGATTACAGGAGATCATTCAGTGCGTGCATGGTGATCGGTTCGCATCATGTGCACCAATTATAGACATTCACCCGTACCGTGAAAAGGGTCTCAAACAGGTAAGGTTTAGAGTACGATGGTTGGATGAAGACATAATAACTCCGCCTGGTTTAGGCTATGCGACGGTGTGTATCGTTCCCCTAGATGGAGCAAGATGAGTTGAACCTAGGAGTCACGATTTTGACTGAAAAGACTTGACGACAGGTCCAGACATGGAGGTCGAATGACTAAGGATTCAGTGATGAAGTGAATGGTGATATTTTTTCTGGCTGACTGCATCTCCGGAAAGAGCAGCATAGTTTTCCTCGACGAGAACGTTAGTGGTTTGCGTTGTGCGTAGGTACTGCGATGGCATCGACCCCAAATATTGGCAAGACAGCAAAAACTTATTTTTCAGAATGATAATGTATCCCACCATTAATGGGCACAGTTTAGAATTTCAATATCGCACGCCTCCTATGGCTAGCTGGGATTCCTGACCTCAGTACAGTAGAGTACGCTTTGGATTATAGTCAGTAATAATTCGGAGAACGTTACCGCTGCTAGTGCTTGTCCACTTGAAGTGTCGACTTGCGCATACCTGACATATGATAAAACGAACGGCGTTGACAGCTGATCGTTAACATGTTTATGTAAGCTGGAGGTGCAATTCTGCCTAAGACGATAACGTAGGTCACTACTTGACTGAAACGTTGGCTCGTCCAGATGGATGGGCTTCATCTTTCGCCTCCAATCACACGTGTCGGGTTCCAAATGCATTTGTACGGAGGCAGTCCCAATCAAACCTAATGGCCTGGTGAGAACTACTAGAAACGGCATACTCCAAAGCGCACATTACGGTGGTCGCTAGATCGAAATAAGTATGGCATATCTCAGACCGGTTACTTTTGAAAAACAATCCCCTGTCTAAGAAAAAGTGTACGAATAAGGCCGTCCATTTCAAACTGTGTCATGAATCGTACAAATCGCTTAGAAGAAAAGTTCATAAGGCACTGACCACAAAGCAGTGTCCTGAAAATTGATTAAAGTAAAGGCAGAACAGTTTCCACAGGGTACTAGCGTAAAAATTCTGATATTGGAAGCTTTCGGAAATTTAAGTACGTATTATCTAGGAAACAAAATTGATGGAACTGCTTGTGTGCCAACGAATACAATTAAAGCGAAATTCACAAAATGTTGCAATTTTAATGAACGACCAGAGAGCGCTGCAGGCGTAAAATAAAAATAACCATAACTGCAGGCGTGGAAAATACGCACGGTTACTTGATCGTTAGTTTGCAAACGTTAGTGCCGGTATGCGTGCCTTCAGAAATCGATATGTTCTGACTCAAAGGGCACATAAACTTGTCCCTATCTGGAATGGAGCTTACAAGTGCGGAAAGACGTGGAATTTCATATCGAGATCTTCATCAGTGATATTCAATTTCTGATCGCAATAATTAGGTGTTTGTCCAAAAAGAGTCTTGACAACGCTCAGTTTAGGAGAGCAAGAAAACGAATACAAGGATAAACAAACTACCGTTGAAATGGCAACCACTGCGTTTTATTTTTAAGCTATAAATCGTGATTTTTTAAAAACAGGAAGGCAAGCTAAGTTAGAGGATTCTAAACATAACACACATCATATGAATCAAGCCTATTACAGACTAAAAAGCGCTCGTTTCAGGTGACAGAAAGAACTCTCTCCACTAGCAAATTTTTTCCATAATAACAAACGACCATACCTTCAGAAAAAGAAAAATATTATACAACAGGCCTGGTTGAACCATGTCGACAGAGCTAGTGGATAGAGGTGGAGCAGTTGATGGCCGCCATGGTTATGAACATCAGCGGCGTAGTTGCACAAAGTCAGAAGAAACCTCAACAGATCAGCTAGTATACGCCCTCTCATCATCTAATGACGAAAGGTCAGTTGTGGAAGTGGGCATCTATTCGCATAGTTCGGAATGATGCGACTTCTGCCACATGGAACTTCTATCCGGAAGGCGTCTATGTAAGGGTGCGGAAGAATTGTTGCTTCTGAAGACTGTTGTACCTATCCGGATATGGTCATTGCGATGAAACGCAGGAATAGGAACCTCCTGCAATGTCGGTGGTCTTCGTTAAATTCCAAGAAGGATACCTATTCCGGTATCCTAATCCTAACACTACCTTTAACACATAGCTTAATTCTAACTTAGACCTTAGCCTTAACCCTATCCTAATCTCCCTGGAACTAAGAATAAGACCAAAACTCCAAGTTCGCAGTTAATTTCTCAGGAAATTAAAAAGCAACAAGACCAAATGCGTTACGGCAGGGGGAGCCTTTTTCCATGTCCTATCGTCACTACTGTACTTAACCACAATTCGTCACAACAATGGGTAGTAATGTGATCTACAATCAAATCATAGGCCTCGCAGTATCTGTTTTAATGTTGCTGTCGTCCATGCATACGTGTCGCATTTACTAAAAACAAATATCGATTGTCATTTGCCTTCTGAATGTGCCTCGACTTCGAGCCCTCAGCAGTGAATAGTCGGCGGCAACATCGCTTCAACAGTGCGCAATTATCATCGGGCAAAGAAACGGAGACAGGTATATAGTTGCTGGAGCCAAAAGGTCGTGCGCGGGTTGTGTAACAATGTTACGACAGAATTATGAGTACATGGAAAACGGACGCTACCAGGGGGCATAAAGAAAACCTGAAAAACCTAGAGGCAAATCCAAAAAAGGAAGGCCTCTCAGTATAATTTTTAGCATTTATCACCGATTCGCCGAGGGTACCTGTAGTATGGAGGGGGGAGGGGGTGCGTCCATATTGCGGTGTTCGACGAGGTAAAGAAATATTGACAGCTTCAGACGGATGAGTGGACTTACCGGCTTGCTGTGTATGATTATAAAGTGGCGTCCATTGTATAAGATTTGTTCTATTGTATTCCTATGCACAGATAAGAAATAGCCTCGTGAGAAAGACGGGCGTTATAAATAAACTTCTCGAAACACACAAAAAAACGAGAACGGCAGAAAGCCTAGCAGACAGGTGCATACAAAATTCAAATTAAAAAATGATTTATCGTTAAATTGAGAAGGGTCAAACCACAATGCTCGGAAGTAAGCTCAGCATAGCAATATGACGATTGTGATTAGTCGGCACAGTTGCGAGTCTGAGAAACTAGAAAATATAGGTAGGGAACAATCGTATGCACCTCCCTCCTTGAGGCATCTTCTTGCACAGTGCTTATCTAGTTTACTTTTCAACCAGTGGGATGGTGCATACTTTTCTCGCTAGGTCACGTGCCTTTCTTCTGCGCAACTTGTTCATTTACGCAGGTCTGGTTCTGCACGACAGGGCTGAAAATGGTCGCTCATCCTCCCTTCCCCTCCTCCAAAACACAACCATTCCCTACACATTGTAACAAGCATACGACACAAGCAAGATTCTCCACTGTCACACTTCAGGACTTGACTCTCACTCTCTTGAAATATCCCATTGGTAAAAAACCTCCAGTGAATATCCATAGGTATGTGGTAGCATAGTGACTGCATCCTATAAATACTGCAACCCCTCGTGCATGAACCACCCGTATATGCTATTTTCTCTGGTGATGAGTTCGAGCAGATATCCGAAACGTCAGGCGAATAAAGCTCTTGTCCCAGCGACCGTGCCCCCTTCTTCACGACTATGATAACATATTGGGCATCTATCGAAGTAAATGCTCCAGGGGTACTTTTCGGCGTCATTTGCGTTTCATTATTCAGAAAGATGCGTTGTGTAGGGTTTTAGCTAGAGCAGAAACCGCCCGAAAGTTTTCTGCAGACTTCTGACCTCCACCCCGCGACTGGGACCATCTGCCCTCGGGCATCCTAAAATCTGATTATTATTATTATTAGTATTAGTGTCTGAGTTACGTCCACAACGGAGCCTCTCTGTGCTACACCGATAACAAAACCACAAGTCTCATTATGCGAAACCAGATGCGTCATGTGCCTCAAGGTTAAACAGGATTCACAACCTTTACAAAACTGAGTGAATCATCGGTTCCACTGATAATCGATTTTTTTGGTTCCGCCAACAACGCTCGGACGGCTAAAAGGTAGACCCAGGAATTATTTTTAATCGAACTCAAATAATCGTGTCGCTTATGCCCCAAACTTAACCCCACTTCCATCTTCATTACTGCCACATGTGTGCTGTTGTCCGTCTCCATTTCGGTACACTAAGTCAGCGCTATTGTTAAGCGGAGAAATGAAAACTGGTCAAATGCATGCGTTTTGTAGTGAAAAGCCACTTTTCCCCTATCGATCCACGTAGAGAAAGTGCGGTAGTTCACTTGAGCGACGTCGACAACCTGGCTATTGGACGGACACCTGCTGACAGGACTGGAATGCAAGCACGCACACACACACACACACATGCGTGCCTGTCCGCACATCAGTGCTTTGTGCAGGCACTCGGCGGCCCGTGCGAGGTAGAAGCTCACGAGACATGCTCTCTTAACTGACGGGCTGTCCTTGGACAATTAGACAAACAGAACTGTTAAGCCACCTGAGTCCGAAATGTCCAATCGGCGTCAGGCGGGTCAAGGGAGGAGAAATATCAAAATTCTAAGCAGGGGGAAACGCGTCTAAGAGGCTGCTTATTGTACCGTCGGAAGCGATCATCCGTTAGACGTATTTAAGTTTCTATAATGGTGGTATGGCCATTGTTTCGGAGAGGTAAGTAAAGAGAGTTTGGTAGGCAATGAACAACAAAATGACTGCGAATAGAGTTTCGGGTTAGCACTGGATCCATCCTTAACTCCGGCTGAAGTGTGAAATGAAAAACGGGGCCTAAAACCACCAAACCAAAAGCCGATGGGCATAACTCCAACAATAAACTCAGGAGAGATCAGTAAACTGACAGATAGCCAATACGCACTCTTGAGTTTTGGTCTCTGGAAGCGTAGAACATAGTTGATTTAGCTTTTACGAGGTGTGCAATTCATGAAAAAATGGTAAATCACATCTCTATTAATATTTGTGGAATTTGCCCAGCGTTGGTTTACGTAACTTCGACTAAGAAGCAAAAAGATTCACTATTCGATCGATTTCCTTTCAGATAAACCTTAAGACTGCAACGTGTGATGTATAAACGTTGCCCTTAACATCCGTTTTTATCCTGTCCTGGCTGTTTCAGCGGTTGTGTAAGTTCCGTTCATCGTGGACAATAAAAGTGGGGTCTATATAATAAGAGCACAATACGCACACCAAACAAAATAAACCGTCCAGGGAAAACCTTCTAAAGGTTTATTCAAACCCAATAGCTTTCGTTATCATTTTAAAACGTGCAACGTCCAGCGAATTTATCCCAAAAATATGGCACGAAGAAGAAGAAGAAGAAGAAGAAGAAGGGGAAAAAGAAGAAAACGAGGAGAACGAGGAGGAGGGGGAATTTCAGCTGATTTCACCCGCTGGTTTTCACACGGATGCCTTGTTCCCGCGGTAAACTGTTGCTGAACTCCCACCCGTGAGCTATGCAGTTGAGAGTTTGTTGCGTTTATCAAACTTATTCGAAGATCAGCATATTTTCAGCTGTCAATGGCTAGTGACCTTGGAGGGTGGGTTGGGATGATGGCTCTACATATCGGGCTTCCGGCTAAATGAAGACGCACGTAAAGTGGAAAATGACAACGGGGCACATATTTGGATTGGTGCTTAATTCAAAACATCTGGTTTGCGGGTTTCCGTTATTGGTTGGACCCAATAAACCTGAACCGAGATGTTTGCAGTTGTGCGTTCGTAAGGAGAACTTTGTGCAAAAAGGAAGATCCAGGTTCACACTATTAGGTATACCTTCATACAGTATATTTTGTAACTTTGGAGAGCAAAACATGGTAGCTCAGTACACCAACACAAACACAGAATCTTGAAAATGGAGCTCTGAAGCACTTATCTGTTGGTAGGAAGGTGAATCACAACTCTCCCCTGGTGCTCCTGACGAACTGGCGATAATTTTCATATGCTTACCGTAATGTAGTTTCCTTCCCCTTCCTAGCCGCGGCGTTTAATAGGAGCTTCAGATATGTAGCACTAGATTAAAAAGCGTCATTTACTGAAATAAGTCATTTTAAGAGGGAGAATGAAGATCCGGTTACTGCACGCTGCCCTCCCAAGACAACCTAACTTGAGGTCAGCACTGACTGCTGGTAAGTTACGGCGAAAAGGGCGTTAATAACCCCTCCTGCGTGCATCTTCGCGGTCGCGGCCAAAGCACTTTTGCATAAATACTTTGCAAAAGATTAACAAACTCCGGCCTAAGTATTCCAAGCAGCAAATAACTGGTATAAGAGGATCTTAACACTCCCCTGATAATTACGCATTTGACAGACTAAAATGAATTAAGGGGGGTTGGTCTATCATAGTGTGGAATTCTCTCGGTCGTAAGGACAAAAGTTAGCAGACAAGTACAAGTACAAGTGAGTTATTCATCGTAAATAAAACTGAATCCACCGAAAATTACACACCTAAATTCACGGACTAGAAGATATTAAGAGGTCCGAGCAAATTGAATGGGTATTTTCACAAAAATCAGTGATTCTACACATAGCTATTTTGTTGCAACATGGGGTTTATGCTACATGCAATTTTTTTATTGCAACTGTGAACAACGATGTAAACGCCCTCCACCTGATGTTCTAAAACTTCCGGAAAGCCGTCACTGTTGCACTAAACATCCACCTAACCAAAAGGGGGAGCTTGAGATGCGCTCGACTACGAGGACGTTGGATACAGTTGACTTTGAGAGCTCATAGGGAAGTGTTCTCAGAGACAGGTGTGTGCTGCACGTCCTATGGCAGAAATATATTTCGAAGTGACCTGTCTTAAAAGGCTCATCCCAGGAATTCTCGGGGCCGTAGAGGCCTTCTGAAACGTCAAGCTAAAAGTCCATATGTTCTATCATTGAAAAGGTCGAAAAGCTTTAATTTTTCAGGAAAAAGGAAGAACTTTTCATAAAAGCACGTGCATAATTAAATGTGGAAACGGGTTTGCCTAGGGGCAGTCAGGCACAGTAGGTTGCCTGGATGTTTCTGGCCAGGCCAGCTGACGCAAATACCGTAAAACCGCACCTGAGCGTTGCTATGCTCACGTAAGCGCACTATCCAAGCACTAAGCGGAAAGAAAGGGAACAGGGAAGGAAAGAAGCAAAATAATGATGATGAAGAAGAAGAATAAGAAGGGAGTGAAGAAGACCAAAGCAAAAATCAGCTTGAATAAGCCCAAAACGATAATTAAACCTCATGAAGTAGACAAAGACGACAGGAGAAACTTCTAAAGCATTGGGGATTTTCACATCGCCGATGTAAAGCTTAGACAGGAAGACACTGCAGAAATCAGGTTTCGTAAGTACATATTTTACCAACTATTCCTGTTAAAACGAAAGTGTATACGTTTTTTTAGAACCTGAGCATCAATTTAACAAGCCATTTCTTAGACGTCAAAGGCCGTAGAAACGAGATTCTGCAGGATATTCTGTTTGCACGCGGGTAGCTAAGAGGACAATGCTCTAAATCTCGGAAAACCTCAGGACTCGGGTCCCAAAATGCTGGTACGAACTTAACGGAATGGCGCTGAAGAGTGCCCTATCAAGGCCTATGTATGTCGTCTTGGAAAACCATTTAAATTAACCGTCTTCCAGATGGTGAACGGTGGAGTGCAATTTATCAACTCCATCTGAAGTCGAAGAGATTTACTTGTAGCATGATCTTACATCAGAACTGCAGAACTACTAATAAGCATGAAAAAGCAAGTCATGTTCAAGGTTCGCTTGCACATGACGTTTGGATCGAGAGGAAGTATAGCAGACTTTGGTCGGAAATTACTTAGAGGTGGTGGCCACTTCAACTTAGGTTTTCAAGCAGGCCGTAACATGATACTGAGTCCTTCTGTTACCTAAACATACAGAAAAACCTAATAGTCCGAGACCCTGGAATACGTCCGGGATTTATAAGCGCGTACCGGAACTAGAGGAACTTTCCCTAGAGAAGGAAGACCCGGGGGATCGCGTGGAAAAGCTGCAATGTCCATAGACTTTATGAGTAACAACATGCGCACACACCCCACCGGGGCAGATAACAGATTAAAATACCTCCCTAAATCGAGGCCATCTCTGGCAAAGGAGAAGTAGGATAGTGAGTGGTTTTCAATGAACCGGGCGTAATTATTTGACGCTGTAAGGGATGAATTAACAACACCGGTCATAGGATACACTCAACAATGAAGGTTCAAAACGCACCACTTGTACATATGGGTTCGCTTTGATCCTGAAAATTCGGCAATTCCATCGTGCGTAAGGCCAATGTGTACCGGGCGGGACTTTTGGTGTTTAGCCTATGAGAGAAAATCAGATAAGTTGTGTAACCGTGTAAATAGAAGAGGACTAAGTATACTCCCGGAAGAGCAAAAGTACATCGATCTCGCATACTGGCCTGACTCTTTCGGGGACACTTTGAGAAAGGGCTGCAAGGAGGGTCATATATCCAAGGGTTGAGATAAAACGGCGAACAATAGACTACGCGCAAAAATATTCTTTCTTATACTCACTTTTTAGTAGGTTACGTCTTCTTCCAATTTCACACATGAAGGAATGACATCCTTCGGTATAATCATATTTGTAATTGCGGCATTTTTCAGAACCGTCAAATGTACAACAATGCAGCATTGTGCCTGTCCCTTTAATAATGGTGTTTATGAAGTATACAACATGGTCTACATTCATAGCAAACTTTCGCGGGCTCTATATGACATCTCCTAAAGAGCATAGACAAATATATGATTTTACTCACGCTAGAAGTATACGGCATGTACTTTTTAAACCCGTGGTGCAAGTACACCCGCGGATTAGGCTCAAAGTCACTAAGAAATTGAAAATAGGTCTTCCAAGGTCGAGGGGTACACGCTTCACAAGTACAGACTTTGGAAAAAGACGCAATTGCTGTTAAATGGGTATAAGAAAGATTACTATTGATTTCGTTTGCTATAAATCAGAGTTCAAATAATAAGGGCATAAAAACCAATGGAAATTGTCTGTACTACTTGAGTAATAATTTTTTAACAGGTTTGATCTTTTGTAGGCGGCCAGAAACAATACCATTCAAGAGCACATATCTTGACTTAACTAAAATATTGTGGCACAACGTCCCACTATGATCAATACTACCATCCCACTTAAGTAATCATTTCTGATAGAATGTGTATTTTAGAATCTCAGTTGACATTTCATAAGATAGGACAACTGCCGTACCTTTGGAGTGTGCTGAGAACCCTCAGAATCAATCTCACTCAACGATCATCAGTGCCTGGACAGTTTAATTTTTCAATGTTCCTAAGGCCGCATGAATAGGGCGAAGTCAATGGACTGAGCTCTCACTAAGTATCCTTCGTCAGGTCACTCTATAGCAACTCAAGGAACGATTGTTTGTCCATAATAACTGATGAGGACCAACGCTACCTATGGATGCAGCGATGATTTTGTGTGAGTTAGCTTGTAATAAAGGGGACTCCCACAAAACCTACACTGCTCTATCTTTTCGTAAATGAGAGGTCAGGCGTGGTGGCTGACCCAATCCAAAGTCGCCTGCCACATACGCGGTCATAATCGCACGTAAATGTACCATGCTTCACAGACGGGGGTCTCTTTTTGACGAAAGTCACCATATAGGTCGAATTTTAAGAGATTTACTGCAACCCGACCTTCGGTCCAGAAGAGCACGATGCTACCTCGCCAAGTAGCAGCCTTACAGATTCTCAACTTATAGCGCACGGTGAAAGTGTATAAACTTCTCAGATCCAAGAGAGTACGGAAAGTGAGCCCTGAGACTTCGGCACTCCCCTCTTCATTTCCAGCCCTGCAACCTTGGTAAGTCCGAGCCGACTAGATATGCCGCAGCAAGGGAGCCCGTTAACTGTGTGCCACACACGATAGGCCTTTATTCAGGTCCTAAGACACAGCATGACTAGTCCACAAAAATGTTCAATCACCGAGACAAGTTCTGTATGTCCACAAAAGTCGGAAATGCCACGTTTTAAGGTAGCGTTGTGAAAACATGCCTTGGGGTCACGCTCTCTCGCTTGCTACAAAGTGGTAAAGGGGGCCTGGAGCCCATTGATGCACCAGGTTCACTAAACGTAGAGCGCGAGCGTACGTGAACCCGAAGACTGGGATTACCACATTTTTATAGCTCCAATGCCAGTTCCAGGCAAGGCTTGCCCGAATGAAGTATGGCCAGTACAATCGACCCAGTATGGTGGGCAGGCGACCATGGTGTGCAATCTTTTTGTTTGCAAGCGAATGCGGAGAATGTTTATGTCGATTCCTAGTGAGGTGTGCCTGCCCTTAATGGTTCAAGGGTCTGCAGCTCAGTGGTTAGATTGTGTCCTAACGACAGGTTCTTCATTCAGCCACCATGACGTTAAGCTACTTCTACTTCTCAGTTAAACTACCCAAATTTCCAGCTGTTTTCATTCTCGTTGACGTTAACCGGGAGATTCTGGGCATGGACGAGCAGACTAGACACATGGGAATCCCCACTAAAACAGTGAACTACTCAAAAGAACGAATTAAGTGAGCGAAAACTGGCATGGAAATGCGTCCTGACTCCCATGCAGTGCGCGTAGAAAACCGTTACCCCCTCCCCCCACCACTCTCCAAAAAAGAAGAACTCATACACCTGAACCACGTTGCGGTGGGTTGGTTTCGGGGACACGAATTTAACGGCGACCGTAACTTCATCGATTCTGGTGCCTGGACGCGTTTTGGTGGCCCATTCCAGTGATTTATCCTGTCGTTTTTATCATCTGAGAGATAATATATTTGACATAGTTGAACTTAACAGTTGTCGTAGGGGCCGCTCGGCTTTAAGAGAGAACTGAAGTCACAGTGTGAGTTTATTTTTGATATTACAGACAGACGATTCGTTAAATTAGACACTGTGACATAGCGCTGAGCAGTTAGTTAAGGCGTACAGACTCTGTCTACGCATTTCCTTTAGACAACAGTCGGGAGACTAGCGATGTAGGGTCAGTGGGGTTGTAAATCCCACCCTCGGCTGGGGAAAGACGTCTACTCTTGGGGTAAAAGCCGTCCAGGAACCCAACCCATTTCCGCTTACTTAAGGGTAACCAAAATGAATGCTGCACCGTGTATTCTTTTGATGTAATACCTCTGAGGTCACTAAATGGCTTACGCCCATCCGTAGAAGAAGCCACCCGGGGAAAACGAAACTCGTGACTACCAAAACTTTGGTGTTGGACGTGATGCATTTTATATTTGGTTGGAAAGATATGCGTCATTCTGACGCCTAGGGTGTAATATTGATCCTATAAGTTTGGGCACGTAGGGCTATTTTGTCGCCGAATATCGCTTGGTACGGGCGAACACGGGGAATTTTTTAATACAGTTTTATTGCTACAAATAAACCAGTGAAAAGGGGACATTACTCGAAGCCCAGTCCGACTATCCTTTAAAATACAAAAAAACCGTCGGCAGGGGGGTTATATGGGTGCAGCTTTTCGAGAGTGAACAGTTTCAGGCAAGCACGCCAGAACTGGCTTCCGCGTATGCAGTCGACTTCGATGTTTGAATATACAGGTAGCGTAGGCAAGGAGCAAACAAAATGGCTCTGTTGATTTCAACAACTAAAACATAAAATTGTGCAACGGCTTCTAAGGGAAAGTAGCAAAGTACAAGATAACAGCGAACCTGAACTCTGAAGGGTTCAATTCCGTAGGACTCGAGGCCTGTAGCTATTCTGATGACCTCAGCAGCAGCTTCACTTGGAAGAAGCCCGCTAAACAGAAAAAAACAATCAGCCTGATTTTTCCTTTCCATATCACCTCCAACATAGAAGACCAAATGAGGTTAGAACGAAAAACGAAGTAGGTGGGCGTTGACGAAACCTCCGGACTTGTCCAGAATTAACCGGTTTTCGACAGTAAAAGAACAGGTCCCTCACAATGGCAGTCAAATATCGATATCACCTTAGCATGACAACATGCTCCATAAAGCAGTACAAAAAATGATTGAAAGGTCAGTTTCTTGGCGCCAGACGCGGCTCCGTCTTTAAGCGCCACCACTAAACGTCCAGGTTTTAAGTGTCCCACCTGTGTCCAATGCCAAGTAGGCAGCTTACGAACAAGTTTTAAGACCTCACGGCGGTTAAAGGTACAAACCGTGTTTTATGAGATCTTCATGCGTAGAGAAAGGCAATCTGTTTGCACGAACGGGAAGAGAAAGTGATTTAACGATAAACGTAAACACAGGTTTCATGTGACAGAAATTGAAAAGTGCAGGTTGTCTTTCCAAAAGACAAACAGTAACAAAGGATGCGCAGGAAATATCAAAAACTAGTAACACAACAAGATAAACGGTTTGTTGCATTAACAGTCGCTCAGGTACAAAAGCGGGGCAGGGAGGTTTTCCTTGTTTTGTGTTCGCTCTCCAATTCCATGACCTAAAAACTGTCATTATAAATACAAAAGATCTGTTTCACAACTGGAAGCAAAGTAATTAAAGTTACGGGCGACGGTCGACTCAGTGGTACCATGGGTATTCGTTATAGAGGGCAAATGGGATGAGAGGCTGAGGTTCATTGGTACGTCCTCGTCTGAGCCCGGATCTTCCTAGTTTCTTTCTTGGATTTGGTTAGTTTATAAATAAAAAATAGGCACAAATGGCCAGTCCGGTCAACTCGGTTTCGTTGGCAATGCTTCCCATTTTCTGGCTGATGGTCGCCGTTAGGCAACCGTCCACATGAGGTTTAGACCGGGCACACCAAGACAGGCCGAAAACACCAGTATTCTGCACTGCGGTAGGGATAGACCGATGAGCAGCACCTCCATGCACTAACGAAATGTGAATACTAGTGATCCTAATCAGTGAGCAGAAGAGAACCGTAAAAACAAAAGTTTTTAGCTGGTTGCCAAAGTAAATTACTCAGCGCCATGAAACAACCATGAAATGAGCGAAGCGAAGTCGGTTCCCTTGCAACTTTGTCGCTTGGTTTACAAAGGGCACCTCACGAAGCTTAGACAGAAAAATATAATAGGTGTTTGGAAGTCAGCAAACCCTTTTCACGTTTCTACTGGACGTCGTTAGCAGACTCTAAATAACCCCCGGAAGTACGGTGAGTATATTTATTCCTTTTTTGAAAGTGAATTCTTATAGCCTTAGAAATGGAGTTATGGAAGGGTTTTGATTTTCTTCAAAGAAAAACTAAGAATTTGGAAGTTTTCATGGTGGCGTAGGACCTGGCAACTTTTTGAAAAATGCATGGCCACACCTTCCAACTGTCCGTTATTTCGCCTTTAGGGTATGCTCGTTAAGGCGAGGGTAAAAGGGTTAAAAAGTATGTACACCGTTGATATAAAGCAAGTATTTCCAATTCTCTATTCACCAAAGCTATGAGGGTCCACCGGGAGCCGTGAGTTTGGTCAAATTTTAGTCAAGTAATCCGTCCAGACCACTGCAACGTATGGAAGTCGTCTGACGGATTCTAGGTGGATTGCTTAAGAAATCCTGTTTGGACAGCCAGCTTATTGTATCAGATTAGGAGGATTTCATGCGTGCAGTAGGCTAGGCGGGTGACTTAACCCAAATGTGATTAAACGCAGGGCTCCCGGTGAGACCTCATAAATCAGGTTACTAGAGCGTCGGTTGTACTCAAGCCTTGCCCTTGATGTCGTGGGTTCAAATCCCGCCAAGGCCGCTGGGTTTCATGCAGTTGTATCAAAATGAACTAGTCATAATCTGCCAAAACACGTTTGAATAACCCGAGCAACTCAGATCACTTAGACGACACACCTGATCGCTTTACGACAAATTATTTGTTATAAGTAGGGCAGACCGCATGCAGTGGCGACGCCAAAGAGAAAGGGAGGAAAGCGTCCTGCCAGTGAGTACGGCAATATCGCTGTTATTCCCCCGGTATTGGAGTGCTTTGCCTCATCGAGTTTAGTCTTTCCAAGCCGTAGAGCGGAGGCATGCACCCCATAGTTGCGGCGTCCCAGTTAATCCCAATACAAAAATTAAATTTAACCCGTTCGGGAAAAACTTGGTTGAGGTAGTTCAACCGCTTTAGTTACTGATAACTATCTTCTTCAGGTTATGTTCGTGGTTGCAGCAACGGGTTGCAAAGCATAGTGGTCGATGTTACAGCGTATTCAGAGGTTCCAACGAGTCCTGTCCTAGCCCCGTCGTTGATTCTAACATCGCAGCTGCGTGCCTCATGGGATAGGTGCGGCAGAGCTGCATCCCTCTACAGCAGCCTCTCTACAGTCCCCCACCAATTACCGATGGAAAAATGAATTCAGGACTTCCGAAGCCGGACAGGGGCGCAGGGACTGGCAACTTTACACGGTCTGTCTTCGCGGGCCACACACAGCCTGGTTTCCGCCTGGTGTGTGACGGACTACGAGCGGACGACTAGGAGCGACATGAAAGCCACATTAAAAGAAGTCATTGTAGTCTGACTCTCATTTCTCAGAAGGACCGCACAATCCCATCAGCTGCGCAGCTTTCAAGCCACGTCCACGCGTCATACTAACTATATCAAGAAGTGGGTTAATTTTGGTGAGAATAAATTCCCTTGAGCCTACTGGACAACTGGTGATGAGACTAGACGCACAAACTGACAAAACCAAACTGGTCGTCGTTCCACGCATAAAAACATGCTTCCCAAGCAAGAAAGGTGTGCAAACTTTGACACGCAACGTTTAGCCCACTGAATTGGCGCGGACATAGCGAACGGCGTAGCTGCTGCAGGAGAAATCCGACAACCGTAAATGTGAGATGTTCCTTATGCGCGTGTTATGAAGAAGTTTCGTGTACAGTCCTGGTGGTTTGTGTGGGCAGATAAAGCGGGATGTGGTGCTTGAGTTTGGACTGTGCAATTATACTGAAGAGTTTCCTGGGGGCGTATATGTCCGAGCGCGTCAGTGCGATGGCCGAATATCCTAAGACAGTGTTGGCAGGCGAGGCGTGTGTGGCGGGTGTATACCGAGGCTCCAGTAATTGGTTCGTCCCTCATATTGCGATGGATTCGCAAACAGCAAATCAGGCTAAGGCACAACTTGAGGATGCTGTCAGAATGGGGGTAGAGTGGACCTGAGTCCACGCTGCTGGTGGGATGGACGACGGTGGTGTTAGTTGACAGGATGACAGGCTTACCCCCGAGGATGGTACTTCTGGTGTTGCTATGCGAGAGAATAGGCGGGTTGGTCGTGTCAACAATGCACTGGGTCTGCAGATGTCCGGTGGAGTCTGCACCCGGAAGTCCGGCAACAGTACGGACACGGTGGTAAGGGTTGGGTGCTTACGTCGTTGGTCCGTGGCACTTCAGTGTTGCACGCCTCTCTTTTTTGCACCTGCAGTGAACTTCGGTTGACTTGGAAAATGTCTGCCTTGTCCTTTACGGTAATGCGCCACGTCTGGCGATCCTGACTAATATCCTCCCGGGCACCCGGATTCATTTACGGACGTCTGAATGAGGCTTGCAGGGTGTCCTAGTATGGACGTTTTAGTTCGCCGTGCTTACTGCTACCGGTACCGAGGTCGATGAAGAGTAACAAACTGAGCATGCGCTTGTTACTCACCTTTACTCTGTGGCAGCTCTACTTCAGTTGTATCTGCTTCAACATGACTTGAGTATTGAGGACATCGGATCTTTCCAGAACCTCAGTTTTTAAAACCCCTTCTAGCAACGTCCTTTCAGTATGCCTGGGAGGCAGCTGAGGTAAAAAAATGCCTGACTCACCTAGCTTGTCTCTCGCAGAATGCCGCGTTTACGATAGCATTGGGACATTGTCATAACACAGCCATTTGCATCACCGACTTTGTGTTGAAAATGCCTCGGCGATTTCGGACGGAGTTTTCTAACCGGCCGAACATGTAGCTCGTCTTAGAGATCCGACCTGCGATTCCGCCGTCGATCTAGATGTTTCCTGAAATCGTACTCATACCGAACGTTAATTTGTCCACTGTTGTGAAGCGACTTCCACCAACATCGGCCCTGGGTTCGTTGTACTCACAATCGGACACCTGTTGACGCATGTCTAACGTCTTCTCCGGACAGATGGCCAGTTAGAATTTGCAGCAGCTAAAACAAATAAGTCCACACTCTACTGCATGCCCTTTTCCGTTGTGCTCCTTGGCGCAGAGTCATTCGCGGGCAAGTGGTCATGGAAATTGGATTTGAAGATATCGGGCACACGCACACGCACACGCACACCCGATAGTTCGACCGTCGTTATCACCGATGTCCACCTTGTGCTTTACAACAAGGTGAAACAGGCACGGCGACTTGCGCGTGATTTTATTTTATCGCGAATGCAGACTTGCGTCATATCTACCGCATTCACTCCTCCTCCCCCACCTGGACCGGATGCCAAGACATAGTCAAAAAGACCGGAGGCGGGGGATAGCGCAGGCGGATGACGCAATCCAGCCCGCACCTTGGCGTTCCACTCCACACCCCTTGCCCACATAGAATATGACCAGGATTTTAACCAACAAAAACACACAACACTGGGCAGACTGCGAAGTCCAAGTTATCCCGTGATTTGGTAACCTTCCAAGCCACGGCTTCCAGCGCAACGTGATATCTTCAAGTTGCGTCAGCTTGTTTATAGTGAGAAAAATACGCTGAGTCATCGACCTCACCCTCCCTTCCCATTCCCAGGCCCAAGTCACTGTCCGAATCACACACACACACGCATGCACAACGCAACTCAACCATCGCAAGTGGCGACCTCCACCACATGCGCCACGACGTGGGCTAGCATAGGTGACTTGCGTTCTCCTTCTCGCTCTTCCTTTACCCATCTGAGCCCAGTGTCAAGATAGGGTCAAGAAGACTGGAGGCAGAGTCGGATGCGGGGGCTGACAGGGACAAACCGTCCGTCTACGCGCCCCATGCACGAGATGGCCCTTGGCCCTTATGATAGGGACGGTCGGATCGCAGTTAGGTCATAAGCGTACGCCTATACTGGAGGCAGGAGTTTTGATGGGTGGGTTGGCGCAAGATGCTGCAGTGATGTGGTCGTGATGTGCACTCCAGGTGATAGGAGACAGAATTCTTCGGCATGCTACTCGGCCTTTTTATCTTTGCGCTGGGTGCTAAGGTACCCCTCAAGTCCGATGGGAGTCTTGGTTGCGCGTCGGCATTAAACGCGCTTGCAAAAGAATTGGACGTGAACAACTTTGTTTTTTCCATGTTCCAATCTTGTGTTCTTTCCACATCTCGTTGTACTCGCTTAGTTTGAAGGTGGCGCCTTCATTCTTTACAACAGATCGTCAAGCCTGCCGATCCCGTACGAAGGTCCCTAGGATTAATAATTCATCCCGAAGTATTTTTGGAAAGCCCGCAGAGGCTTTTGTGGCATTCCTTTTTGCCCTCTTTGCCTGCGGCGTCGACGTTGAAAAAGCCTATTTAAAGCCATCGAAGCAGAACTTTCTGTGCAGATACCGCAATCTGATGACAAATGACGTATTGACCTCCCACTTAACTATTAGTCCGGGAGACCGACATCCTACAGTTAGTTTCATTTCCTGGCCTTACATTCAAGGCGGCACTAATGGCGGATGTGAACGGCGGCCTTAGTTCAAATAGAGAATAAAAGTCAACCGGATGTTTAAACAATTTCAGCTGCGAGAATAAAAGGGGGCCATAACCAAACAACGACCACCGCCTTCTTCCTGCACGCCTGAGGTAGAGGGAGGTTAGTCAGTAGTCTACGCAACTGCATGCACCTCTTTGGGAAATAAAAATATCGCATGACTGGTCTAACTGACAAAACAGACAGTGTTTCGCCGCATTGCGCAGACGAGTGGGGTACGGCTCATCAGCGTTCCCCATGTACTTTCTGGCATATTTGAAATCTCGGATTTTTAACCTCCGTAAGAACCAATGCGTTAGATTGGAGTAAATCCTTCGAGACAGGCTTTGCTCGAAGAGATATATAGATATGTGAGACGAAGTCTACCAGCGTCTGAGGAGGGATCGCGTAATATTCAAATATTCATATCAACTTTTGAAAAAAGCCCGAAAAGGTTTGTCTCGAAGACTTTACTGCAAGTAATCGCATTAGTTTCTAGGGAAATTAAAAAGCGAAAAAAGAAGTATACCTGTTCTCTGCGAGCGAGAATATTACAGTTAGTGTTATAGAACAGGGGACGCCTCTTTTGATATTTGCTAAATGATTAGATTTCGCTGAGAAGTTCTCAACCAGAAAATGTGTGCAAAATTACTTTCTGCTTAAATAAGGTGCGACAAAGAAGTGAAAAATCCCACCATGTCGTTCAAACTTGCCTATCTGCCCAAGACAATAAAGCCTTCAGCAACCTAGTGAAGAGGCGACATAGCATCCAAACGCAATAGGGCAGCAGGCCGAAACCGTCAGCTGTAAAGCTTCCTAGTTTAACGGCAAAGTTAAGACTAAAGAAAAGCCATTTCGTTGCAAAAAGAATTTCCGCCTGTGTGAATTCCTCAGTGCCGATAGTCCGACCTAGAATTTTTGAATTCTACAAATAGGCTTATTGGAAAATTCAAAAGGCCGGTTGGCAAACCTGTGCGCGCACGATTTCAATGAATTCCCACCAGTCCGCAATCATCCTTTGTGTATTTGATTGAGAAGGAGGGGGAATAGAGAGAGAGTGCACTACGATGAGTGTTAATTACGTACTGCAACTTCCGGTGCTCAGCAATAACCTCCTGTTCGGTGCGCTTCGACTGGGTGTGAAGGTAGCGAAAGTTTGAGAGGTACGTTGGCGCATCGAGCGAATCAGCGGACTGAGCCGGTGGTTGGGGTTCTAGCTCGGAGGCGTCGCCGAGTATGACTGTTGGGTGAGTGTGTGCACGAGTGTAGGAATTATGAGTGGCACGTGAAAGAGAAAAAGGTGGTTTTTATCGTTGACGAAAGGTGTGCAGAAAGGACAGATCTTTAAAAAGTGGACGCAGCCAGAAACGTTATTATAGGGACTAGGTGACCGCTGGGTTTTCGGACACCCTCTCGCTTTCCTAGGTAAATAAAGTGGACGATTTCTACCAATTTCTCAAATACGTTTTGCCACATAGTTAAACTAATATGCTTTTAGCCATGACAAGTTCACCAGGGCCAAAGATGCTATTTTTCGAACACTATTTTCACAGATGGCTGCTGATCAAGATCGGTTTTCAAGTGTCACGCAGTGACCTTCCTACTCTGATGCTACACATCGGTCCGTTATCTCAAGTTCCTGCAGTCGATCCTTAAAGCACTTCAAAATAAATGCACCGTAGACCTGTTTGTGCAGTCTTGTGCGAGCAATAAGTCTTAATAATAATAACTTAGATAAAATTAGCCATTCAGATCTCACGAAACATGCTAATGACATTCCATCTTGCTTATAGAAAGAGATTTAAAGTCTACTGTTGGTTACAAATGATTTTTAAACCACCATACTGGCGTGTGAAGGCATATGCCAGTCGGTCAGTATATTCCCCATCACAGAAGTAAACTTTCAGGTTTTAAAGCCCATCGGTGATAGAAAAGTCCTCCCTACAAAAGTTTTCCAATGCAAAAGGACGAAATGAACAGTCTTCTTATGCCTACGCATGGATGCATCCAAAATATTTTCAGCCACTGGAGTTAGCAGAACTTTAGCCGTTAGTCTAAAGCCTGCCTTGAACGATTTTAGAAAAAACTAACTCTTACATGTGATCGGTGACCAACCTCATGAGATTAAAAAAAATGTTTTCAATTAAAGCCGATTTTTTGAAGGGACTACAATATTAATTATCGTGCAACACAATTCCAAGCCATTTCAGTCGCACCCAGATGTCGGTTTTGGAATGAGCTTATTTTTGACTGCATGTATAAGCTACACTCCAAAAATGACTGTTAAAGCAGGTAAAATTGTGTCACTGGTTTCCTGTTTCTTTTAAATTAAAATATTGCTTTTTGTACTCATTTGGTAGCATGTTGAGTATTCTCCAGACTCTATGCATGAAAAGGGAATCTTTAAATTTTAACAAGACTTTTTAATTTCCAAATTATTCGTAACCCAACCTCTGGTTGCACTTGTGCTCAGGATTTTCAATCCGCTTGCTGTACACTTCCCGCGCAATGGAAATGGCACATTGCTCTACGCTCTAAAGCTGAAGTCATACAGGGTGCATAGAAGTGTGTAATAAATGTGGACCATTTCGTATACTTCATAGGCACCGTTCATAAACGGACAGGTACGATGATATGTGAATGAGAATTACATAGTCTTTTAAAATCTCATAATTATTTATTTTTAACTGGGAAACTACTCTTCCATAAAGTATAAAATTTAAGCAAGACGTAATTTCCTTCCAAATAAGTATAATAAATGGTATTCGTGTGTGCCTTCATCAAAATATTCCTGAATTTATTAGAGAATCGAAAATGAATAGGAAAATTCATACTGACCTAGTCATTGCTCACGGAGAGTGGTTCCTACAGACGGCCGGGAATAAGTTCGTTCAAAAGCCAGCACCCAGACCTGATTTAAATATTGCGGGATTGCGCTGCACGTTGTAGGATGAATTAATACTACAGTCCCACTTAAACAGTCCATTCTAACCGAAAATACGTTTAAGGACTTTGGTTGGCTCTTCATTAGATAGATTAACTACTGTATATTTTGGCGAAAACATGTTCAAAAATATCCTTTGGTGCACTGATTTAGGGTAAAACATGTCTTCTTAAAATCTTATATTCGATGAAAACGTATAGTATATCAAGGTTTTAGAAAACTTTCAATTTCCAAATAATTTCGGTCCAGGCCTGCCGTTGCATTTGCTTTTAGGGTTTACATTCTACAAGCTGTAAACTTTGCGTATAAGAAAAATAACACATTCCTCTACGCTATTTAAAAGATATCCTATAGGGACTATAAACGTTTTCAGTAAATGTGAAATATGATGCATACTTGCTAAGGATCACTATACGCGAACAGATACGACTTTTTTAATGGATGTCTCACGGTCTTAAAAACTCATATTTACAAACGTTTTCAAAACTTAAATATATTATTCCTTCTAGTAGCAATTTTGAAGAAGACTTAGTTTGCTACTAAATAAATATAATATTTTCATTCAAGTTTTCTATAAGGTATATTTGAATTAATAACGGCGTCAAAATCAATGGGAAAATGGATATCGCTTAAGTAACCATTTTTACTGAGTGAGTTTTTTGCAAGTGACCGAAAGGAAGGACCTCCAAAAGCCAACATCCTGACGTGACTGAAATATTTTGAAATTGTTGCACCTTGATCAATATCACAACCCCTTTTAAGTAGGCCTTCCTACTTGAAAACACGTTTTAGAATTTCGATTAGCATTTTATGAGATAGGCCACTGACGAAGCCCTATAAATAACCCTTTTTCAGGGCGAAAGCTCTCTTATCGACTTATCAAGCACGCTCGCCTCCCAGACTAAGAAGAAAACGTCGTGAGTTAGGTTCTTACTGGGGAAAACTTTTGATAATCAAGCGTATCAAGATATTTAATGGTGGCTGAGAAAAAATATACTACTTTGTTTGACGACGTAGCATATTAGGAGAGACAATGTAATCATATTTTTGCCTCGAAACCATGTTCATTGCTAGCGTATGAAGGAGACATAATAAAGGAAGTTGAGATCGCAATCTAATGGCCAAACAGATTGAAAGGAAGGCTTTTTAACGGAGCTATGTGGAACAGTAACACCAACAATATTAACCACTAAAATTCCTAAGAATCTTACTAGTGCAAAAAGTGAGGCTACCAAAAGAATCCAGAGGTGTGCGAGATATATCACTGCAACGCATAAAACCTGAACACATCGTAGGGTAAATTCTAAGAGCTCCCTTTATCCCTAGTGCCGTTAGCGCCTTGGCAAGTGCAGAATGCTCACAAATAAATCAAACAAAAAGGAAAGTTGAATATGATCCTACACGGTCACTGGGCCGGTGGTATGCTCATACTTCTGTTGGTCAGATGTGCAGCAATAAAATTTAACGGTCTTACTTGGGAGGAGACCATAAGTAGTAAAGGCCATACTTTATTTACCCATCACTGCCTCACTTTACAAAACATGGGTATTTTTCAAAGTTTTGTTGACTACAATACACAACACAGTAAACATCACATTCGAGTGCATCTCCCCCCCCCGTCTCCATGACTTTCGAGTGCGTACGCCAGAATTTAGCGTACCTTTCGACAATTCAGACCCAATTGATTTACTCCAGATCCGTATAGTATAGCTTAAGGAAGCAGGTTTTATTGCTATACAATCTAATCATGCTTTCGTTGCGATTGCCCAAAACAAAATACCTTCGGCTGCTGTAGTTCTATAAAATGGGACAGCCACCATGCAGAACGTTAGACAGCATTTGTGTTGAAAGGTCACTTAGGCAGCTGCTCTGCTACTTCGAGAACACGGAGAATTGCTCTAAATTTCCACACACTTCACTGGCATAAAGACTTAACTGGTTCAGTGAACACCTTTTACACTAAAATGAAAATTAAGTAATTCAGTTTAATAGCTCTACCTCAAGTGCAGCGCTGGGTCTTCTGACGGCAGCGATACTTAGCGTTTTCAAGGACGCTAGTTGTTTTTTAGTTGACGTTTTTCTAGGTCATAGCCAGACCTCACACAGCGTTGACGTCCAGACCGTTCATAAAGATAGCAATTCCCCTCATCACAAAAAGTATGTTATCAATAGAACTATCAGTATCCTCCTTAGTTTGTTTATATTTATTTTCAAGTTCCCGCCTGGGACTATTCCGACTTATTCACATACAATAAATATTTTTCCATAGAAAAAAGGCAAACTAAACGAACTGCGAATCACGCTTGCCTTCAACAAACAGAGCAGCCATCTTTATGAGAATGTCGTGCGGGGCGATTAGACGACCACTGAGGAAGTCGCGACGAAGTTGGTGAAAAAGTAGGTACCTGAAACGAGAAAAGAAACGTGGAGATGGCAGGACGAAGCGACCAAATGGTGAAACCTGAGCACCAACCGGTGGCGCGGAGGTGGGACTCGAATTCACACGTGGCGATCACTGATGCCCGGGCTGACCGCAAGTCCGTCTTCTCTGTGCTCAGTGTAGTGGGTTGGGGTGACAACCACGTGGAAAAACAGTTGGTCAAGGTGTGGCTGTCAGACACCCGTCAAAACAACATTCGCGGTGAGCTATCTAGGGCTTGTTTAATGTTGTCATTACCTGGTAAACAGCCAAGCCAACCAGTGTAGGCGCAAGGGCAGACACTTCCCCAATGACGCAGTCAGGTGGGGGACGGGAGAACGTCGCTCTCATTCATTTGGCCTTCAAAGTTAATTCAGTCCCTGACTTCTCAATTTACTTACAGCGCACATCTTAGTACGTCTTTCGTTTGTGGTTATCCTTTGTGATTTGCCGGTCAGTTTATTTTGCTCGGGGATAAGAATACAAGAAATACCCAAAGGTATGTGGGTTTGGGTCAAGGGGACGAAATAATGCGTAACCTTGCAGCCAAGTTTTCAGTCTTTTGTGTGTGTGTCCGGTTGCAAACGAAGTATGCCAGCATATTCAAATGGGGCTGACAAATCTGAGTAGTGTTTAGTTAACGAGAAAATGTCCATTATCCAAACAAAACCCCAGCCAATCAGAAGACAGCACTGGGACATCCGCGCGTGCGACATCAAGTTGTGCTTTCGATGGGTTTTCTAGGCTGCCTTTGATGAAGAGCTGCCGGGCACCATCGAACGAAACAAACCGACCAGGGCACGCACGCCCGAACGTTCGCGCAAGATCTCACGTAGATTTTTAGTCCAAGAGGCAGACTAATTTAAACACAAGGTTGTAGAACCAAATTTTGGCGCCCCACAGCGTGTTTTTAATCGTTTTTGTACGAAAAGTTGTGCATAGAAGGAGGCTGTTACCCATTGCTCATGTTCTTGATTTGATCTGGGCAACAGTCTGACTGTCTGTTTTCCAGTTACTTAACTCTCGTTTGAAAATATTGAGCGCGGCTATTCATGCTAACACAAAACTGCGCCAAAAGGAATAAACTTAACCCCGAGAGAAACGTGCAAGTGCTGAACAGTTCCCCTGAACATTGTGCTCAAAACCAGTAAGACGGAGTAATAGGAAACCCTGTAATGCGGGTGGTCTTGTGCTAAATTCCAGGAAGTGTATCAATTTCCGTGTCTTCATCCTAATCTTTGCACTAACCCTGACCTTAACCGTGATCCCCACCTTAACACTAGCCATTATCTCCCTGGGATTAAGTGAAACGCCATTTGTATTACGAGAGTTCCCATTCTCGTCCCCTACTGTAAACCCTGCAGAGAAACTAATGTAAGGCACTCTAGTTGAAATACCTTATGGACTGATGATCAGGTTCAATTTTGCACCGTTAAGCAGCGTGACTAGGGTAATACGTTCTGTCTGCGCCGTGAATGCAATTCATCCAATGTGAATGATTTAATTATAAAGCATCCTCCTACTCCAAGAGTCTAAACAAATAACCAAGACTGTCAAGGAGACTCTAAATTCCACGCAGTGAAGGAATGTTCTTTCCCATTTCAGGCACCACAAAAATAAAAAGACAAAAGCTAAAGTGAGATGACGTACTTAGAAGAAGAACTACGCATGTAAGTAGCTTTCATCAAAATTATTGGTTACAATTGAAACACTTTTCCCGCAATACACTTGAACAAGACAACGCGACAAAACATGCAGGATTTAATTATGACAAAATTTTGCGACCTCTTCTTGAAACACGTACAGCCATTGCGTATTAATAAGACAAACTGTCCAATTAGCAAACGACCTAGAGGACTGAAATTTGATAAAAAATAAAACATGTATTATTGGTCTGGCACGGCGATGCGAATGATGAGGGAGGGAGGGAAGCTAGTTCAACTTAGAGCGAAAAACTCGTCACTGGGTCGTTTTTTAATTGAACAGTTTATCTTATCTCTTTAATACACAACGACTGTTGAAAATGAGGTTACGAAATCGTATCGTTAATTCCTACTCGATTCGTGGCCTTTACCCTGAGTTTCGGTGAGGCAAGAAGATGGTCACCAGGCACATGTAAGATGCTTCTTGCTTCCATCCACAAGCATACAAGCCTTGCCTCAACCTTAGTCGAACTGGCTTTGATTTAGAGTTCGCATAGACACTGCGTCTGTGATCTAAGTAAAAGTTCGGAAACCATTAGAATAGGACTTGTTGGCTAGTTTGGCCACAAAATGGTCCCAAACTGAAGGAGACGCAGAATTTGTAAATAACAGCACACTTTTAAGAAATCTGCCTCCAGAATCGCTAACCCGGCTGGTATCGCGCTCGAGTGCTCTGTCGACTGAGATATCAGGATTAGCCAGTCAGATATAAAGTTTGGTAATAGATAGACGCGACACCCTTCCAGGCATAAGATCAGTTGAGAGTTGTGAGTGGACTATAAGGAATAAATAAATCTCCGATGTGCAACGTAGGTGCCAAAAAACGGAACTTCGCCCTGGATTTCATTTCACCCTCGTGTGAGCTGCCGGCTGAAAAAGTGCAGCACTGACAAAGAGTCTTAGAAATGTTCGTTAGTTTAGTAAACTTGTCTTTTTAAGAGATGCCTCAGTATCTCTGTTTTTACCTAGTCCTGCATCACGGCACAGTACCTTTTCGACTTCAGGCTACTCAGTGGTAAGAAACGCAATCAAAGTCACCCTTAGGAATTCTAGACGCTCATTTTATTTCGATAAAACGAACAAAGGAATCAAACGAAGCATTGATAAACTCTTAGCTTGGTAAAAACGCCATCGGACAAAAATAGCCTGTTTGTACAGCCAGATGGGTGAACCGCACTCATACTCTCTTCAGGACGCAGGGTACGCTGAATGTTCCTCCGCACACTGAGTCCCAATTTCAGCTAACTCCCAAACCCACCTGTTCACAATGAACCGTCAAGATTATGTGGCGTGAACAAAATGTTCATTATCCTGGCTGTTTTTCGGTCATGCTTGCTGGCAACCACTAGACACTTATGCGTATTTACATATTGGCTCTTGATTTGACATACCCCCACAGAGCTGCGACAGCCTCGAGTGTGTCGCAATTGCAAGTCCAGACCGACTGTCCGGACCACGGTGGCGATGACTTGTTTATCGACGAATTACTAACCGAGAAGCTGATAGTTCAGTCAAATGGGGAACTTTATACAAGAAAAGTCTTACAATGGTTAGAAAAAACGCAGAGCATGTTAAGTTGCCAAGTGCAGGATGGGAAGAGAAGAAGTGATGGAACGTCCGGAGGCCAGACCAAGACGTATTCTCACCTGTGCTCAAAAATTCCTCACAGTCCCCTAATCCTGATCAGAGCAGAACCAAAATTCCGAATCTTTACGGGAGATATCTTCCAGAGTCAAGTGGTTGAGGTGAAAGCAAGACGGTAAACAAACTAGGCCCGCTTATATGTCCCCTAACATTCATAAATGGTACTATCTTCTGTATGTTTTTTTGAATGTCAACAAGCACATTTATTGAAAATGCGAACGCGAAAAAGCCGTAAAGGAAAACGGGTTACCTTAATTATCGTTCACTTCTTCACACAAATTGAGTTAGAAACACAAGCTACTATAGAGTAACAACGGAGCATGTCTAGACAGAACACAGGGCCGTGTACCCCTAAACGCAGGTATCTTCTGGGGGTTTGGGTTGGCTGAGGCAAGCAAAAAATAGGTAGACAGAGGAGCAGATAGAAAGAGAACCTAAGATGCGTCGCGTGCGCGAAAAAAGACTCGAGTTTCTTCCTTTTATACCATCCAAGGTAGGGAGCTAGTCTTTACTTCTGATACATTATTTTACTGAAATTCACAACTGGTTTCCTGGTGCGATTGAAAACAGCTGCACCCACCAGACGATCGGTCTTCACTGGTCAATCAAAAATTTGATCACGGTTAGAGACTAGTCAGAGTGCCATGAGCATGAATGAGTGACAGGTGTTCTGTTTTTCTGTTTCAGAGTCACCGGATAACAAGAAGAACAAGAGCCTTGGATAAACACCACTGTGTGCAGTACAGCTGCTATGTGGATAAGCTATGTTTTGTAGCATGGCAAAAGCCATGCATGCTTTTGTTCAAGGAAATTTATGAAGTTGTTGATTTAAACTTCGCAGTTGTGCTCTAATCAAGGGCTGCAGAGAATTTAAATTTTAGTGTTCCCTTTCCAATTACCGGCTCCACATATGGCAGCCAACGCGCCCAACAGTCTACGAATAGCATATTTGAAGAACACTTTCGCATAAACGCGAAATCAACTGCACCTTCGCCGCAGACACGCACTTCCTGTAAAATCGACAACTTATCATGTCGCATGAAGTCAGGTTCACACAGGAAGCTAAAACATAAAGTGCGTCATCTTTTATAAGTAACCGTATGATCGTTTGGTTAGTTATTGGTTAAATTCCTTAAAAGTAGGCCATGAAGGCCCGGGTAAGCCATTAGATACCTTTCAGCCTAGCTGAGTGGTCATCCGATGCGTCCGCTAGTGGCAATTTGTCGAAAAATACAGCCCGCAGCGAGTCGCAAGCTGAGCATATGGGTCACGTTTATATTTCTGTTTCAATACGCACGTTAAATATATATGTTTTTAAAAAGACGGTTAGATATGGTTATGGAGCCCCACCCGATGGGCAAAATACTGCTGGTTTTAGGCTTTTGGGGCTGCGGTTAAGGGTTAAGGTCAGGCTTGGGGTCAGAGTTTAGAGTCAGGGATTTGGGTTAGAGGTTAGGGTTAGGGGTTAGGGCAACTATTTTTCAACCATTCAAAGTACAACCGCGCATTCACAGTAGCTTTTATTTTGCACAAAACTACTTGACCTCGTCGTCTGTGCGTTGCCCGGCCCCAGCTGTAAAAATCCCCTATTACCACCGATCCCGTATTACAGGGGACTGGGGTTAGTTTACTTCAGGTGGGGCTTCATAACCACGTCTGACCAAAAAAGACAAGAGGCAATTCGAGATAAGTTAAGAAATTTAACTAGTCTGCGGCCTACATGTTGGCTTAGTTTACAATGGCATTGCTACTCTAGTCTAACCTGCACTATGTAAGTGCTCTCGCCAGTGTTTCGCATGAACCTGAACTATCTAGATGTCAAACGGCCTTTTAGTATATATTCAAGGTTTACGAAGGTGATGATGCACAGGGCTGAATATACTAGTCCCAAACGGTAAATACATTGCGTTAACAGTGCTGTGGCCATTTTAGGGCAGAGAATGCGGGTACGCATAGCGATCACCAGATTCTGAAATCCAAACATAGAGGGCGCATAGGCGACGCGTCGTAGGTTACGAATGGGAGCCTGGATGCGAGGCGTTAGAAATGCGTGAAGGAGGCAGAATATTTGGGCACGAATTGCCTCAAAATTGTCCCGTAACGCTGAAATAAGCATAGATCTGTCTGGTCTATCGAGGACATTCAAGGTCGGAATTTGATTGGCAAAGTAGAGCAAATAAATTATAAGCAAGTGACAGCGGGAGGAAGTCGCTACGATTTAATGCAAACCAAAAAAAGCCGTCTGGCTGAACGAACTTCAGACTATACATACGCTTGGCCAAATTAGAAGAGATTTTCAGGAGACTCTTAGAATACTGTCCACATAAGTTTTTGAGCAACTGAAGGCGAAAATTTGTTTAGCGTTAGGAACGTGTTCACTCGAAGGAAGTGAGTGAAAGAGAGAGAGGGAAGAGAGCGAAAAGTACTCAGATTGGCAGGCAGTGACTTGATGGTTTGCTCTCGCATTTACCGCAAGGGCAAATCCCAAATGAGGCAACCGTCATTAGCAAAGTAACAGTCGCCGGACTGCTTGAAGGAATTCCCCGTCCGCAATTTTCGCCCCTTAAGGAACGACTCGCAATCCATTTTCCGTTTATTTGCCTCAATCTAACACAAATAATGATCAACTGAAGGGTTAAGACAAGTTGCGGTTGATATGCCCGTGAGTACGCCTAAACAAGTGAAGTTGAAATACCGAATTCCCCCTTTTGGATTGAGTTCAGCCAGATAAAAACTATTTGTCTAAAGGAATACTAATAAGGCAGCCGGTGAATTTACCGACCGGCCGCATTTTGGGCTCCGTGAAGCCGTCGGTTTGAAAGTCAACTGTGGCAACAAATGCAAGCCGACTTCTCTATTTTCACGTGTGCTTAACAAGTTAATCAGTTCCAAGTTCATGTCCTCCCGCTGCGATCCAGTTAACAGTGCCTATAGGTTGCATTCGTCATCGTTTTTGGCTGCGGACCTTACATGAGACTACAGCCGGAAGGCTTTTTTGGTTACGAAACTTTGTGGAGTCCAGACTGGAACGAAGTTCGAGAACAACTGACTGAAGTTATGGAACAGAGACAAGAGAGTTTTGAGAATAATGCAGTACTGCGAAATCTGTTTTGAAATAAACTGTACTCATTGTAAATGCTGTACGCCTGTCTTAGGCTTTACAGGCATACGCCGCAAAAGTCGTTGCACATGGCCGTTTTTGCGAAAATCAATAAAAACATTTCGCGAGGGAAAATCAAAACCACATATTAAACAGCAACGGTGACAACATATGCCGCCAAATTCAGCTTATCCTCTCATTGCTTGAAAATCAATAATTGATGGCTAAAAAGGTTTAAACCGTAATTACCTACAGATTTGTTTATTAGTTAGTTATGTCCCATATCTGCGTGAATGTTTAAAACCAGATTTTATTTGCATTTTGTTTGAAAAAATTTAAAGTTCTCTAAATAGTTCTAAACCTAGAGTCACGTAAATACCTATCAAAGGGATGAAGTTCTCTTCAAGCCTGGATTTGGACGAAAGAACTTAAGATGCAGGGTTGCAAGGCATATTGGAGGGATGCGACTTACTTTGACTTTTCAAGTTTGAACTCATCAAACGGATTCGCCGGATAATGTTTTATTCGGAAAGAGACTTGAAGCGGATTAGTGTCTAAAATAAAAGTAATGAAGAAAAATCATATTCTAAGCTCAGAAGTGTTTAGATTAATAATATAAGGCTCGAAAACCACATTTGACATTCCATGACAAGAATGAAACCAAACTTCAATCAATCTGATGATATTTCTGACATCGATGAATGCCCGAAGTCGAACGTCTTTGCTGACCAAAAACGCTTGTCATCTTCCTGGCATATTTTAAGCAAATTACTATGCATCTAAATTTTCCGAAAAAAGTAAAAGTGAGTAAAGTGGCTCTTAAAAAGTCAGCATGTTGGTTGTCCCTTTGGTCAGAAAACAAAACGTTTGACTCAAGAAGGAAATAGTTGCCGCCATACAGGAAAGCGGGTTTAGTTTTGCACTAACTTTAACTTAGATTTGCAACATAGGGGGCCCACTGGTTTAGTTATGAGTTGAATCGCTTGCACTAGTCGAATTACAGATTGCAACTGAAATACACCCGAGCCAAAGCTGGATTTGTTAAAGCAGAATAGATATTGCGGTGTGGCGACGTAAATCGGCATTAAGGAATTTCGTTTGCAATCGTTTCGTTTGAGTCGATTCCAACTATCTTTAGTGGTAAAAAAGGCAATTTTGGCGGAAATTAATCATTTTGTGTGAACAAGACATCAACGAGACGTTTCGCAAAACTTTAGACAGGTCAAATCAAGCATAGTTTAACAATATAAAATGCTTGTGATAAGTTGTAAATTGGCAGAATCAAATCAGAGATAAAAGCAAGTAGGACATTGCTTGAACCTGGAACTCACTTTTAAGTTGACTTTGGACGCTGCGAGTCATATCCATCCAGTGCTGAATAAAAATAAGGAATGCAAACGAACTTGGCTGTGGGCAGTTACAACTAATTTAGGGAAATTCTGGTTCCATTCTCAAATCGACATAAAAACATTGCCCTTTGCGACAATAAAGCTTAGACATTTATGGGGCAGTAAAATACACAGGAACACGTTTGCGTAGGAGCTTTGCTTGTGAACGTTTCAAACTATCTAGGACTTTTTTCTAAGTAATTAGGTTTTTGTTTCCGGTTGCATTTTTTTAAAAATATTTTTTAAATATCGGCTTTGTAAATTTAACAAAACTCTATTCCCATATTGAAATCTGAATCACTTTAAGAGGACAAAACAGGAGTCAGTGTAACTGAATGGATACAGCGCAAACATAACTTAGTAGTTGTTCCTTAAGTGTGTTTTTCCGAAACTCACCTTCGTTGGAGATGAGAGCATTTCGCATGAAACATAACGCAGGCCAAAATACTCCAACTCGTCCAGAATATCATATCGGCGACAGATCTCTTCCAGTAACCACTTTCCATTGGCGTGAGACTTGATGTATACAATGCATTAAAAAGGAGTACTTCAACGACATAAGCATTAACATGGGAATTGGTATTTCGGAAACATCTACGTTTAAATAAAATAATCTTCAATAATTGTGTTTGTTTTAAACGAATGTACGCTATACGGTAAAAAGAGATGGCCAAAATCTGCTGCCCTGCATAGTGAAATGGCACCTAACGTTCGTGATCGCAGCCACACTTGCTTTATACAAAAATAACTGTTTACTCACTGGCACAACCAATCGCCAGGTTTTGTCGTTTTCTAAAAGCCGCACAGTTATGTGCATCACATCGTGTCCTGCTGCATTATGTGAATGAGCCTGTGGGTTAGGAGATGGCATTGACTTTCCAATGCATAAAAAATCCAAATTTGGTTGTCCAAAGTTCTTCGAAAATCTACAGTTAGAAGAGAGGTGGTCATAAAATTTCTTATCTTCGACTGAAGAAAGAGTTTTTATGTTTTACCAAAATTAATGAAAATAAAAACTGATTTCCCAAGCAGAATGGCAACTATGGCTTTGTGTTTTATAATTTGACGGACTCACAGACTATGTTTGTTTTCGCAAAACTGCACTGGGAAAACATTTTTTGACTAAATTAATAGACTTTGCGCTCCAATTCAGATAGAGCCATACGAACCAAATCCTTACATGGTAAATAAAATGTGAAAAGGTTAGTAAATACGAATGTTAAACTATATCGGGATTTTAACATCGAAATCGGATGGCCTTATGTGCACAAAGATAATGTGCGTGGGTAAAATGACTTTTTATGACTAAACACAGCCAGAAATTTCGCACCTGACGTGCATAACCAAAACGATATATATCGAATGCTATAACTAAGTCCTTGCCGGCAAAAACACCCACAGGGTTTTTTAACTGTTTGGTCTTGATTTCTCAGTTATAAAGAGAGACGATGTGTGATTTTACTGACAAATCGAATGAATAAGTCTGCATATAGATTAGTGCAAGGTATTTTAAGGAACTATGTCACATGAGACCAAAACATTTGTCTTTAAACCAGTTAAAGACTGCATCATACCCCGACAACATATTTTAAGTTGGGTCATTTTCGGCCTTTACCCGGCCATTCACAAAAAATGGTAATGTCAAAATAAAGACCCAAAATGTTAGCGCTAATAAAAGATCGTCTTCACATCATCTTCGCCATGCTGAACGCTCGAATCTGTATGTGTTGTGATAAATGTAATAGGTATAATGCAGTCGTGGTTGAACCTCTCATTTAAAACGGAATTTTCTTTCGATGTAGAAGACAAATTACCCCTATGCCGCACACCTATTGTTACATAATAACGAACTAATCAAAAGGTCTTTCCCGATAGGTATAAATGTGGGGTAACTGTGGATAATCTGTGTGCCAGCCTTCCGTGAAGACAGGGGTCGCATACGCAATATAATGCCTGTTTGGACGCACGGAAGGGTATTATGGAGTTAGTTTAGTATATACCTGCCCATTTCTTCAGGCCACCACAATTATGCACGGCTATTGGGTGTCATATATTTTTGCTGTTTATTGCGACTCCTAATGTTTTTTGTTCAAAATGAAGAAGGTAGTGCTAACTGTTCCTTTTTTACAAGTATTTGCCGGTTACTCTTTCGGGTTATAAGTAGTTCGTGAATTTACATATGTCACTCGAGTCTGCCAGCAGGAGCCCAATCTGGTCCGCTCTGGCCAAGATGGGATGGAGGTGGCTGCGGTTAGGTTGAGTTGGGCCACAAGGCCGTTCAAGTATATGAGCTGGAAACACTAAAGCACGACCTCTGCGATAAATGTGCTAATCGGAAACTCTTAAAAGAGTCGTGTGCATGTGATAGACGATTTTCAATGCATTTTATGAAATGCTTACGAAGACAACTTTTCGTGAGAAAAATATTTAAATATTATTCAATTATTATAACAAAAGATGATGGTGATGAATAATCATAAAATATGCATAAAAACACATAGTAAGACCCAAATCTCATGTCGTTTCGGTTTTAAAATCAACGGCGCACACATATGTGTATATCGATTATTTTAAAAATTTTAGTTTCCCATTTTAGTTTATCAACTGAAGATGATAAGCTACACGAACAAGATAGTGTTACTAAATGGAGGTCGCGTTGCAAAACAAACACGTCTTCAGAGATAAAAAAGCAGGCGACTTTAAGAAGCATCCCCCAATTAGTGCATGAGTACAGCGTTATCAAAAAGTCTTTAGGAAAATTAAACCAACATACGTCGGCCATGGTGTATATTTGAATAATGTAGTTTATTTTAACCATAGAAAGCTGCCGCCTAACATCGCTGACTATGCTCAGTCATTAGTCAAAGGTTATGGGAGGGCAAAGCAGTAATAACTTAAACAGAGACAAACCCCATTTACCTCACAGACTATATTAAATAAGCAAAATTTAGGGTAGGTGCATTTTCATTTAATTAATCCAGTAAAACAATGCGGGTCATTTTTGTAAACTGTAGATATCACAAATGATTTCGGCCGTGATCGTTGCCTGCCGCTTGACAAATAATGCGAATATTTTGCTATTTCAAGGTTTTCCAACTCTAAAGTGGTTCTTTGCTGAAAGGAGTACAAAAGTTGTTAATGTGTTCTGCGGAATTTCCAATATCCCCCCCTCTTCTATAGAAATCTGCATATCATTTGCTTGCAGGTGTTCACTTTCATCCCAGCAAAGAGGTCACCGGAAAACAGAAACGTGTTCAGCACTCTCTGCGTCCACAAGAATTTTGAGAACATTTCGAAGCTTACCGCAGACTACCGAGAAGCGTAAATGTAAAATCTGTCGACGAATACTTCTTAGGAAGATTGAGGCAGAGCAAGCCAAAGCAGTCCGAAAGGGATCTTAATGGCCCACTGCAAACATGAATTGCAACGAAACGTCACGCTTATATTGTAGTGCTCAAAAAATAAGAAAATATGTGTCCAGGAGAAGAGGACACTTATGTAGTATATAATGACCGTTTTTTGAAAAAGGTCAACAAGAGAAAAAACTTTTGCTCATTATAAAGAAAATATTGGGGTCGGACAGGGCTGGCGTGTATATGGTAGTGTATGAGAGACTTAATTATGGTCCAAATAAATTACGACAACAGGAAAATGGTCATTATGAGGAGAACTACGTACATTGAGAAACGAAAAATGGCATGTTTTAAAAGAGCAACCATGTAAAGGGCTTTGTTGCGTAGAGCAACTAACTAGATTGGCTGCAGCAGCTAGAAATATTCCCTCTCTCTTGTGGACAGTACAGAGGGGACATGATCATGGCCTTCAGGATCGTCCGAGGGCTAGACTGTGCTCTTCAGTTTGACGATTTCTTCGAACTGGCGCGGACGACAAATCTCCGAGGGCACCCATACAAATTGAACCCGAAACATGCCAGACTCGATTTGCAGGCCAAATTCTTCTCTCACCATGTGGCTGAGGGATGGAAGAAATTGCCGAACTCCGTTGTCTTAGCGGAAAACGTCGAAACTTTCAAAAGAAGACTAGATAACCTTAAGCTTGATGGTCAAACATTTACATGATATCAATGACTGACATAACTGCTATGTAAACATTTGCATGTTTTTCTTCATGCGTCTATCTGTCAAAAGGATTTTCCAAGGCTCTGCCTCTATCCCTTATATATACTGAATTATACAAAAGTCAGTAATTTCCATTATTTTGACGAGAGAAGATGCTTTTAGGGCCACCCGGATAGCTTTAAACACCAAATCCACAGCCTGACCTAAATACTTGTATATTAATCGATTTTTCCTGATAGTCAGAAAGGAAAACATTTCCCAGAAGTACTGAAAACAATTTGCCAAGCGGAGAAGTTTAATCTCTTAGCGGTTTTATAAGAGAGTTAGGGATGTTGTCAGTTCCTACTGGTTTGTGAGTTGGTATGCTGGCTTATCAGCTTCTTAATATTTGCAGGAGCGAGATTAATGGCCGTGAAGTAAGCATCAGACAACGGAGGCTTTGGAGAGGTGGGTTCAGTTTCAATTGTGAGATGTTTGGCAAAGAAAAAATTGGACAGTTCTGCTTTTCCTTACTCCTCAGTAATAAAGGTATTGTTGGAAGTGTCGGAGTGTTGCGACACTGGTATCCAACCATAATAATAATCATCATCATCTTCATCATCATCGTCATCATCATATGTTAGGAATGATATCGCATACTGCGGAGGACACGATGCATTTTAGCTGATAGTTCCTAGAAAGCGACACCACACATCGAATAGGAAATCTGCACGGACACAGCAATTGGGCGGCGTCGTCCTAAATTGCCGATGGCCTTTTCTCATTGTTTAAGACAACGTTGGCCGGGAAGGATGAGGAAAATAAAAGTTTAATTTGGTCAGTATTCGGATGAAAAGGCAGCCTTCTTTTTAAAGTATGTAGATTATCGAATAACCTTATACCTACTGGGAGGTTATTCTGGAGGTTGTTAAAAATACGCAATTTTAGAATTAAAGTAAATATTGGAATGCGCTCAGGGAAAACTGGAGAACACTATAATGAGCCGAAGCCCTCGCAGCTTAACAACGCAGTAACATAATATAGGCGAAACACGTGTCTAAGCTTTGATATAATACTTGTAATGCTAAATTTGGTATAGCATACGACACATAGATATAGTCCGTTTCAACTCAAACTGCCTTCAAGTGAGGCACTCACAAAATAATCCGGTTTACGTCCACATTTTTGCTACAATAACATTTCCTCACGTTCATCTGTCTAATTTCTGCTCCAACGTCTAGCTTGTCAACCGTAGTTTAATAATAATCATAATAACTTTTATTAAAGACCCGTCGGGGTCCCATCAAAGCAAGTGAAAATAAATTTACATGCGCATTTTAGATGAGCTAGGCAAAATCTGTACAATGTGCAATACATAGTTTTTGAATTAGAAGTCCGTTAAGAAAAATTATAAGCGAGGAATGAGAAAACTCCACATGAAAATTCAAAAATGACTGGATTAATTTTATAGGAGAAAAATCCCTCGAAAAAATAGAAACAGAAAAAATGCGGGCAAGACTGGCCTGCATGTGGCGGTATAGAATTGATTATAATCGGACATCGTCAGGGTCGAAATAAATGTCAGCTGTATATGGCATCGTATAATGGATTTCATGAAGCGTTAAGTAGGCGGGTCGGTCAGGACTGGCCAGTATGTGGCCTTGAATAAGGCAAATAAGTGGCGAAATTGATAACCAGTCTCGAGGCGATAGGAACCCAGATGCGGTCGGTTACATTCATCCGAATCCATCCGAGGATG